AATATTGTTCGCGATGTAGTAAAACAATTAACTGGTCAGCGGACAGCTTCCAAATAAATCACGTCACCTCGAGGAGTTGACACATGAGCCCGCGATATGATCATGGGATACTGGTCAGTGGCTATCCCGTTTTGACAGCTGTCATTTGATCATATTGTGAATGTCCTATATTAAAGTTGTGGACTTGCCAAGACAAGCCTGAGACACCCCTCCCTTCCTTTTGATAGTCTCCCCTACCCCACCCGTACAATCTGTAGACGTGTACGTACGCTCGGTCAATCACGTGACAACCAAACGAAAAGAGGTTGACCATATTCCATGAAGCGCGCGTGGGAGCCCCGCTATGAAGGATTATGGAGATCGAGGAGGGTGTTGGCCCAGGCTGATAACACCCTCCGAGATCTCTTGCCTAGTCCCTGTACGGCGTCTTTTCAGGCCCTCTCGGTCAATGCATTTTGGTGACGTATCCGAGACGAACGGCCGGGAGACGCCTAGACAATCTAGGAGTGCGCATGCGTGAGCATTTTTGAAAAGTTCACACGGTCAACTGAAATAATCTATAAATAACTTTGCGCGTGAGTATCCTTCGCTAAAGATCGGCACTATTGACAGTATTACAAAAATAACTAACCTAATTCGTGTCGTAAAAGAACAAAAATATTACATTGAATCGGAAAGAATACTACTGTATAACGTGCAAGTAATTTCTCTTTTAGTCCATATTCAAATGAACCATTAAAATGATAGTCTTTATTGGTAAAAAGATTTGAAACAGTAGTTTGTTGACATTCTACCAAATTTAGAGACCAAATTCAACAGCCTGTCCGATTAGTTTGATAAGCTTCCAAATCCAAAAATTAAATTACATAAAGTATTTCAATTCATAGGAGCAAGCGAAAATAGAGAAACGAAAGATAGCTTGTCATATCCAAGAATAAATATAAACTTATTTCTTTAGCTTACCTTCCGATTCTTGATCAAATAATTTTTTTGCGACGCTGTTTTGCTTAGCCTACAAATAGTTTTTGAGACGAAATAAAGTTCAAATTAGTTTAATGAGATAAATGAAAGAGAAAGGCCAAACGACTTTCAACAATGAAAACGTGCATAGAACATTAAAAAATGGCTCACTGAAAACTGGCTGCTGGACATCTTTCATTAGCGCGGAAAAGTTATTGACAGGTCGCCCGCTTCCAAAAGCTCCCCCGCCAAGTGAGACAAAATGTCTCACTTCTCTGAGTTTGTCTAGGCCTCAAAAACTTTCTCGGACCACGTGACCCGAAACGCATCGGCCGCGCATAATAATGAGGCCTAGGGACTAGGCAACGAGATCTCCATAATTCTTCATATGATACGAAAGCCGAATTCAATAACTGTTTTATTATTCATTTAAAATAATTCCTGCTTTAAAAACATGGCTAAACATGCTTACCTCCATCGATCCATCGATGTTAAGTTCATCTTCGATAGTGCACGTTTAGGATTGTTCAGCTCCGCAAATATTCTCCAAATAGCAGATGTCGCCCTTCGAATTGTCTTCTTGCTGTTCTTGTTATGTTTTTAGCTATTTTTTCGCCTGGCTCTTACTGTTAAGTTGAAACGACTGAAATGTCAGCCATTTTTCAAGGTCACAACCAAAACAACTCAACCTCGTCCCCAGGTCTTCTCGGTTAACGGTGTATTAATCTGTAGAAGGCTGCATTTTTGTCGTCATTTCCTCGTTAAACACAAAATTCTTCCAAATTTGGTCATCAGTAACCGGTTATGGTGAATTATGCGTGTGCTTTTAGCAAATCTGAAGTGGGGAAATATTTTGAATGAATAATAATACTGAATTAACAACGCTGGGAATTCACTGATGGAAACTTATCGCCAGATAAGATTTCCATGGCTAACTGTGGACATGACTTAAATTATTTCACTTTTTTAGTTCAAGTCCAACCACGCCAACACACAGTGCAGAATGTTCCTTTATCTATAAGAGGCCTCAAGGTCAAAGCCTCCTGCACAGACGTTTCGGGTTTCGTCACGCGTTGGGTGGGACGCTGTCAATCGCGAAGCTAACTTTAAAATGCAGCTCGAAATTGTGCAAAAATACTTTAGGAGAAAGTGTTTTTGTATCGCAGAAATAACATGGCTATATTTTCCACTTCACCCCACACCACTAGCATTGAATTACTTAAAACCCTTTGAAAGATCCACTGCCCAGAGTTTGCGTGTTGGCTTTGCATTCTTTATATTCAGGCTGTCGATACATTCGGCTGCTGCTGCATGCTCCATTATCGCGAGAATTTGAAAATCAATGCCAATGTTTCAAATCCCAATTTCTCCCTCAGTAAAACGGCCTTAACCCAGGGTACCGATTAACAGAGAAAAGCTTCACCTTAGGTGGTAAAGCTGTCCATGTGTCAAAGGTCATTTTTGCGGAAAAGAAAGCCTTCTAGACTGTTCACAGTCCCCTATTTTTCCTTAAGATCATCGAGATCGAGCGCTTTGCGGAACCGGCGGCCATCTTGGTCTTAAATGTTTCGAGTCTAGCGTGGGGATGAGTGTCAGTTCTACTTAAGAGGCGGGGGACACACTGCTATAAACCCCGACGCCCTCCCTCTCGGTACATATGATAGTCGCCCCTACCGGTAAGCGCTCGACTCTGACGATCTTACGAACAAACAGGTGACTGTGAACAGTCTAAAAGCCCTCAGACACCTTTTGCGAAAAATTTAAAGAATTTTAAAATAAAAGCACAAACAAAGTAAAAGGTGGAAACATAGTAGAGGAGACTGGTTATGAAAGCCGGCAAGCATCAAAGATGAAAACAACGGTGCTGCAATTTTTGTTGGAAGCTCCCCGACAGTGTACTATGCTTTGTCTTTGTTCACAAATTGTGACTGATTTGCTTGATTTTCACGTGACGTCACGGCGACTATGCTGGTGGTCAAGAACAAAAGCAAAAGCATTTCTCTCCTCTTCGAACTAAACTCTATTTTCATATAAATTCTCGGAGAAAAAATTCTATTGTATTAACCCCAACATGGCCGCATTGTCAGGTGGTTGCAAACCAAGAAAAAATTATGTAATATTTCCAAATGTTTGAAGCTCAGCATTTAGAAATCATCAATAAAGACATTTTTGACCCTTGGAATGTAGATCTTTTTTAGACAATCAAATGGGAATAAAAGGAGGGTAGTCAAGAGTTACTGATTTATGCCAGCTTCTCGAAGATGAGAACATGACATCGGAATGGCCCAGCACAGCATCATGCGAGCGTCAGTGATTGTGTTTCTGATAACTGGATCATTTCTTTGCCAGAGTAAGTCATATTTTGCTATCTGCTCAATATCGTTCTGCTTTAAGTTTCATAATCAGACTCAAGGTCTCTATTTCAAAACGTTTCTGCCTCAACTCACACTCCGCTGTCGTGAAGGCAGATCTTGTCCTCGACGACACCGAGGTTGAACAAAAGCCAGGAACTCAAAAACCAGTCGAAAACGTTTGGGAAGGTAACCTTCCTCTTGGGTACCTTTCTAGAGGGTGAGTTGGGAAGGGCTTCGAAACCCGGTGTCCCCAATATTATCACTCAGTAGTTGACCAGGTCCTTAGCTACTGGCCAATGGTCTCAAGTGCTGGCCTTCTATAGTTCAACCACAACGCAGGTATACTATATCGACATTTTAAACAATTATCCGTGTATAAAATAACATTTACTTTCCTTATCAACAACGACACTTGGTGTTGTGTATATAACTCAATGTTTATGCAAATGTTCGATTAAGATGCTAGCCACTCTATGTTTAATGGTCCGAATACCCAGGAGCTACAAAATCCGTTCGTTCATGTCGCCTTTTTTGTCTCTGAATTTAATAAAATCAGAAGTAACTTAAATTCAGTGAAAAGTATGAGCCCATAGACAGCACCTCTCGAGATAGAATTTTAATAATTACTTTCAATTGGGCTTAATATTCTCGAAAACTCGCCGGTGGTAATAATGCCTTTAGGCACTTTCTAGATAAACGTGAGTGAACCCTTAAAGACAAATTATAAACTCGGTGCCCAAATGTTAAGGTATTAATTTGTTAAATCTCAGACTACAGTTAGTTATATTAGGAGTTCTTAAAGACTCCACAATGATATGGAACAACAGTACGCAGTGAGTCTTAATTTCCGTGAACATTTCACTTCCGTCGGAACCTATATTTAGGACACTACCGTTATAATTTAAGGACTTTATATTATTAGTTGCCTTTCATGCAGCACTGATTGTATATTTAACCCTCTCTAGTAAATGTTTATATAACACTATGAGTTACATACAAAGCTTCCTTTACAACATCGACAACCCTTTACTACTTAGAAATTGTATCTCGCTTTTAATTTCAGTATCTAAATTATTGTTTTACTTATACCCTATCAAGTATAGAAGAATTTTCCTTAACATTTATCAATAGGTAATGAGTAGAATAGCTGGGGTCCAAAGAAATATGAACAACAGAATTGTTTGTTTCGTAACAGACAAAATTGCACTGATGCCAAACCTTCCTGATATACACTAGAAACGTTATAAGCAAAGTGTCGTACTAAACGAACAAGAATGTTTTTTTTAAAAAAAACTTTGCTTCTTTCTCTTTCAAGAAACATAGTTATATTTCCGGCCCTTAAAAACCTAATCAAGGAAATATGCCGCCATGGCAGACACCGGCTTCTTAGAACTTGTGGTTTCGGTTGAGCAGCAACCGTTAGTAATTCAAAAGTTCTTAACTTTTCTTCAGCACCCACTTAGGTATCGTTTTCTTTAGTGATTTTCTCGTTAGTGGTTTTTCAGTCTCAACGTATTTACACTAAAAGGGAAAATTCGAGCCTCATGTGAGTTCCCTAAAGAAGGGAGCGTATACAATCATCCGGGGGGCGGGGTACACCATCACATCTCAATATCAAGTATTTAGTCAAGCCAGTTTCTTTGTTCATTAGAATGACATGCCAAAATTGCTTTTCAAAACACAGGTTCAGCGACAACAACAGATGCAATTACCTCTAGCTTGCCTACCAGAGTATTCAGCAGTGCCTTGTCCTCCACCTCTACCAGCAAGGTGCCCAAAGACACGACTTCAAGCGCTGTTCATGTGTCAACCTATGTCGCGACTGGTGTCTTCGTCTCTACCCTAGCTAGTGTCACAGCAAGTAAATCGACTTCAGCCTCTACCAGCGTATCAACCACTGTGTCTACAAGTGTCTACAACATTTCCTCTGCTAACTTTCCAATCAGTGTTTCTGGAACTGCCTCGTTCTTAACCCAGGCAATTGCGTTATCCAGTAAGTCGACCTCTACCGCTGCTAACTTGTTAAGCAAAGTGTTGCAAACCGTCTCGCCCTATAAATAACTTCGGTCACAAAATTTATTTATTTGTTTGCCGTCAACTTTTACGCATGGTTTTATATGTTACCCAGATTCATGTAATGAATCTGAAAATCTTAGTAAGTTCGTCTGATAAGACGGCAAAATGAAGCAACTTGGAGCGTGAAGTACACCAGATACAGGTTAAGGTTAGCTTTTTTAAAGAATGATTCTACATATCAAGGCTACCAGTGCTAGCGTTGTAAACGAAAACCTAAAGTCAGATGTTGGTGGTGACTGATCTGTGGGATGGCGTTATTTTATGTTGTCTGAAACACGATTTTCAAATGATTTATGAGAAGCTCGAAGTGATTTCCCCCAAATAATTTTGACATAACATAAAAGTGTGATGCTCTTAGTGTTTTCCCTTTCAATCTTAAAAAATTCTGATCAAAGACACATGATGAAAATCGTCGCTTTTTTCAACTACCTCTCGAGATAAACAGGTAGCCGTACGCTTTAGCTTTTTTATAATTACTCAAACTGTTGTGATATACTGAAAATATTACATATTTTGGTCAACGACAAGTTATACTTGAAATGTTAGCAAGATGCTCTTTTTCTAGCGCGGTTGTTTTGAAACGCGAGTCAAGCGAATCATAGTAAATTTCAACCCTGTTTTTGCCTTGCAAAATCGACGGCGGGCCGTGAAACGGTTTTCCGAAACGAACGGATCTTTCGAAGAAAAAACTACACAGCGTTTATACACTTACTTAAGTCTACCAGTATGCAAAAGAACAGCGATTTTGATTTTTTGAGCTTTGCCGCAGTTTGATTGATATTTGCATGGAGTTGCTCTTAACCAGTGTGTCGGCAGGTGTCTTCGCCTCCAGACCGACTAGTGTTACGCAGAAAAACTCGAACTCTCCCTCTCCTGACTTGTCAGTAAGTGTGACACCAAAAGTCCCGGTATTAACACCCACCAGTTTGACGAACAGCAACTCAAACTCTACCTCTGTCAACTTGTCAACCAGTGGGTCGCCAAGTGACTCGACTTCTGCAATTATCTTCAGCACTTCATCGATCATTTTACTGCCCAGTAAACTGACCTCTACATCAGTTAACCTGACAACCAGAGCGTCACTAAGTGTCTCGGCCTCTATCCCGCCCAGTGTCCTGCCCAATAACTCCGTCTTTCCTCTACTACGTTGTCAAACAGTGGGGGGTCCTTAAGTTTTCTGCCCCTCACTCCAACTAGAGTGAGCTCCAGTAACTCCACCTCTACCACAGCTAACTTGTCATCCATGTTATCGCCTAGTGTTTCGGCCGCCACATCGATTAGTTGGACGCCCAGTAACAAGACCTCACCTGCTTATATGTCAAACACCGAGTCCTCGAATGTCTCGGTAGTTATACCTTCTGGTTTCATACCCAGCAACCCGACATCTCCCTCTACTAATTTGCTAACCAGTGCGCTGGGCTACCAAGTGTCTTTTTAACGACGCCGACCAGTCTGACGAACAGCAACTCAAACTCTACCTCTGTAAACTTGTCAATCAGTGCGTCGCCATGTGACTCGACTTCTACAGTTATTTTGGGCACTTCATCGATCAGTGTACTGCCCAGTAACCCGACCTCTACATCAATTAACTTGACTACCAGGGCCTCACCAAGTGTCTCGGCCTATATCCCGCCCATTTTCCTGCCCAATAACTCTACCTCTTCCTCTTTGGCTACCAACGGTCTCGGCAACGACGCTGACCCGTCTGACGAACAGCAACTTAAACTATCCCTTTGCAAACTTGTCAACAAAAGCTTAAGCAAGTGTCTCCGCCTCCGCATTGTCCAAATTGACGCAAAGTAACTTGACCTGTACCTCGACTTTATTATCAACCAGTGTGTCGCTAAATGTTTGGACCGCGTTTGACTCCCGGTTATTCGACCAGAGTTTCAAACTTTACCCAACCTGTGTGACGCGCAGTCTGTCAAACACAACCTCTAACTTGTCAAACAGTGCTTGTTCAAGTGTCTTTCCTCAGTGTAATGTCCAATACCTCCACCTCCACCTCTACTGACTTGTCAACCAATGCGTCACCAAGTGTATCTTCGTTTAAATCCACTAGAGTGACTACCAGTAACTCCACTGCTCCTTTTGCTACCATGCTTTGGCAAGTGTCTTGGCCTTTACGCCGACTAATTAGACCCTGAGAAGCCCAAACTTTAGTTCAGCTGATTTTTTAACCAGTGGGTCACTGAGGTTCTCAACTTCAACTCCGACAAGTTTCACGACAGGTTTGGCGAACGACAACTCGACCCTCTAAATATGCTAACTTTTCAACCAGTGCTTTGCAAAATGTCTCTGCCTTTACTCTGGCCATTGTGACACCTAGTAACTCGACCTACACCTCAGCTTACTTGTCACTCAGTGCGTCATCAAGTGTCTGGCATCTGCCCTGCAGCCTTTGACAAGCACCACCTCTACCTCTATATCCGCAATCTATTCCACCACTGGTTTTCGAGGAACCTCGTCCCGATTAGTGAGACACCCAAAAACTCAACCTTTGTCGCAGCAACGCCCCCCAGTGTTTTGTTTAGTGTATTGGTCTTAGTGTCACGCAAAGTAATTTGACTTTTTTTTGTCTGCTAGCTTGTCAAACATTGCTTCACGAAATATCTCGGCATCAAGCGCTACCAATGTCTTGATCTTTATATCAACCAGATTGACGCCTTGGAGTAACGTAAAATCGTCTTTTAAGGTTTCTTAAAAATCATAACATTCTCTCTGTCAATCAGTATGGTTTTCGCAAGCATCACTCCACTGCTTATGCTCTAGCTTGTTTATATGATATTTCAAAATTAGAGCATCATGGTGTTCTAGGCACTGCACTTAGATGGTTCAAAAGCTATCTAAGCAATGGACAACAATATGTGGAATTTAATGGTATCAGTTCAGAGAATTGCGAAATAAAGTGCGGGGTGTCTCAGGGCTCTATACTAGGCCCCTGCTCTTTCTGCTCGGTATACATGATCTGTGCAATGTGTCAAAGGTCGTAGGCTTTATTACTTCGGCGGAGCGCGAAGTAAAGGATCTCGCGACGCTCAGGAATGTATCAAAGTTTACATTTTTGGGACAAGATTGGGCACGCTGAGTCCGTAGGCTTTCGGTTTTATTCGGCTATTTCACGAAGTGAGAGCCGAATTAGTTCGAGCTATCTCGAGATCACTTCGTTTTCTTTGATATATTCTTTAACTTATTCGAGGAAGAGAGAATTAGTATTCTGGCTTTCCCGGGGTTTGAACCCACTCACCTGTGTGCCGATTGCGCTACTGCGACCCAACATAGTTCGGGATTTGAAAAATAGCTATGAAATTATGCACTAGTTGGGCGCCCAAGTTCGTGACTTTTCGGCTTGTTTCGGCTATTTCACCAAATGAGACCAGACGGCTTCGTGATATCTTGAGATCACTTCGAGTTATTCGAGGAATAAATAGAGGATATTACATTGCTGCGCAGAGACACAAAATTTCTCTTCGAGTGTTGAAAAACATTTCACGAGTGAGTGCTCCTTTCGAACTATTTTATGATGAATTTAAGGTTACAATATGCTGCAAAAAGACGTTTTGTCTTTGTTGAGTTGGAAAATTGTTACGTTGGAAAATTGCTTTCATGCGTTGTGTGACTTTCTCGAACGTTCTTTACGTTTTTGGATTATTCAAGATGGAAAATGAAAAATTTTGACCCCCCCTCAAATTTTGCATGCAATTAGATATTGCTGGGGGATGTCTACAGAAGTCATACACAAGTCCTTAGCAAGCCAAGCCACATTTCGTAAACACGCACGCTTCCACTTTGCATTTATGGCGTATTTCTTCATTAGATGTCATCAGTCGCTCCAGAGAGAGTTAAACCTCATTAGTTTTTGGTCATTAAGCCAAGCATTGGAATTATCTACGTATTAAAATCTAAAATCTCAAGTCCAGAAGCTTAGAAAGCTGAACTAGTAGTCACTCGTGGACATCCCCGTGAACATGCAACCTCCCCTGGTCAGCGGTGTTAATCGATGCAACATAAACAATTTCCGGGAATTTCCGGTCATTTCTGGTAACATTCTTTTTCCTCACTTCCCGGAGATAACAGGGAAAAAGGATCGCCTGATCGAAGGTTACATCTGCCTTGCTTAGAGGGTCAAACGAAATTATTCTTTCTCAGTGAATGTAATCGTGATTTTTCTACCTATCCGCAAACTTACGGGCTCAGCAAATTTCGGAAAGGTATTTAATACCGATGGAGTTAACTTCCTACCGTCTGCCATGCAGTTAAGTTCATGTTATTTTCTTGACTCTTCTGTTAAGTACTAGGGAGAATAGCATCAAGTGTCTCCTATGGCGGCTCACCATAGGATTTGAAGCATGTTGTACAAACACAAATTCGTAACTTGTACTTTGAAATACAGTAATTAGAAAATCTGGAACACCGCAATGTTGGGAACATGGACTTGACTTATTTAAACATGGGAGAACGCTTAAAAAAAAAAAAAAAAAAAAAAAAAGAATTCGGGTGTCGGATACGTACATACATACATGCATACTAGTTTATTGTGGAATTACATTTAGCCAAAGGCAAGACACGTCACTTTTTCCTGGCCCTTGAATATTATGATTACATGAGGAGCATATTGTTTTGTAAGAGCTTCCGTACCTTCTTTTGGAGTTTTCGATTTTACACTTGTCCACGCAAATAGCTGCAGAATTCGTTGTCTCCCGACACGACTGACTGTCCCTGGGTTCTGGTTAAAAAAAAAAAAAACTTTAAGCCTATACCTGTACTTCAAGTCTCTAGCTTTTGATATTCGGTATTAGGTGAATGAATTTAATTATTACAACTGACGTTAAATTATCAATATGAGTAAACATTGTGCTGAAATTATATTGCGCTTATACATTCTGTTGCCTTTTTATTCGTCTTATTATTCTACAATAGTTATATTTCGCCTGCGTAGGAATTTATGCAAGCGTGATCCAATAGAAACTCCGTGCAGGCTAAGCTACATATCCTAACTTGAGAGAAAGTCTTGGGGTCAGCATTCAAATGAAAAGCGGGGAAAAGGTGGGAATGTACCTGCTATAAAGTGGCCAAACTACATGTACTTGCAAGAAGACAAGCCGTCTAAGTAAAGTGTCATTTCGCAAAAGGCTTTGTGAACTACTTACAACCCAAGTAAGGACTCAAAAGGAATAGCGATCTACTGGCAGATGGAGCCTCTAACGAAGAGTGCAGTCGAAATTAATGTTGCTAGCAATACACAAGCTGAGAAATTACAGGTTCTCAAATAACTTCTAGTCTAAGTTCCCTAAATTTCGTTGTTCCAAATTTTTGTTTTTCCCCTTAGTACTTTACAAAAGAGTGAAGAAAATAAAATGAACTTTAGGAAGTCAATTAACTTCTTCATCGGTAATACCTTTCCAAAATTTGCTGAGCCCGTAATTTTGCAGATAGGTAGAAACATCACGATTACTTTCACTAAGAAAGCATAATTTCGTTTCACCCTCTGAGCAAGGTAGGGATGTAAACTTCGATCAGGCGGTCCTTTTTCCCATTATCTTCGGGAGTGGAAGGGAAAAGGATTTTATTTCTACCGGAAATTGTTTGTTTACGCTGACCAGGAGAGGTTGCATGTTCACGGGGATGTCAACGAGTGTCTAGTTCAGCTTTCTAAGCTTTTGGACTCGAAGTTTCGTATTTTATTAAATAGGTATGTAATTCCGATTTTTGGCTTAATGATTAAAACCTAATGAGGTTTAACACTCTCTGGAGCGACTGATGGAATCTAAGGAAAAAATACGCCGTAAATGCAAAGTGGAAGCGTGCGTGTGTACAAGATGTGGCTTGGCTTGCTAAGGACTTGTGTATGACTTCTGTATCGGCTTCTGTATCACTTTATAACTTGTTGTAAGTGACTGAGTAGACTAACAATGCTTTACAATGGGAAACAGCACAACCGGGCACATGGTAATGGTTCGAGAAACCGAGTGTTCGTTGAATATAAATGCTACGCTACAAGCGGTGCATTCTTAGACATCCCCCACAATATGTAATTGCATGCAAAATTTGAGGGGGGTTAAAATTTTTCATATCCCATTTTGCTTGATTCTTACAGAGAATTGCTCTTAATCTCCCTTGTGTTAATCCGACATCCCTGCCTACTGAATAATTATCTTCTCAACATTCGAACTCGTAACACTGAGTTTTAGCCAATTCCATAATTGACTCCTTACCCATGCCTTACATATCTTTAATCAGTACATGAGACTGCTTTGCTGTCTAAGGAGGCAAACCCTTGATATTTCTATTCAAATTGACGGCAATGTTATTGAACGTGTGAAGGAAACAACACTTTTAGGTGTTATCCTCAATGAGCATTTGTCATGGAAGCCTCACATTCTTAGCGATTCTAGAAAAATATCAAAATCAATAGGCATTAATTAAGCGTCAAGTTTTTGCCTTCCAAAAACTTCCTTACGCTCTTTGTACTATAGTCTAGTTTACCCTTACTTAATTTATTGTGTGTCAGTGTGGAGATCCACATATCAAGGTAATTTAAAGGTCAAATGAACCAAAAATTCGACATTTTTTATTTTAGTTCAATTCTAGTGAAATATGTTTAATGTGAGCCGAATAAACATACTATGAAGTTTCAGCTCAATTGAAGCAAGCATCTCCGAGATATTCGCAATTAAAAATTGTTATTTTTTTGCCCTTATCTTCGTAGAGCGGTCGGAAAAATTGTTGGTAAAAACAGCTTGTGACGTCAATGTTGGTCGGGTGAAAAAAAGCGGGAAATTCAAAACCGTTTTTTTCAAGTCGACCTGGCGCAGAAATTGTGGTGGTTTGTGCGGCCATAAACCTAGAAAGAACAAGCAATTTGTCTTCAAAAGTTGCAAGCTGTGGTTATAACTTTATTATTTAATTTTCTCGAAGAATACATCATAGTAAAACGGACTTTAACGACGGCATTAATTTTCTTGCGCTGTACTGGAAATGTGCGTGCATAGGTCCAATTTGATTCAAGATGTATTCTCAAAATGTGGTCATATAAGAAAGTTTTTGGATATATAAGGTCCGTAGCTCCACTGTGGACACAAAAACAAAATATCTTTGTATAGTGATTTGCCCAAAGAAATTCACGCTTGCCCACAATGTGTTTGAAGTCATTGAACTTTGTCTCACTCGAGCTGATATTTTAAAAGCCACGCTCAATCGGACGCTTGTGCTTCGCAGAACACTAAAATATAAACAAAATCCTCAATGTAGAAGTTTTGGCGTTGATATGTGGGCAGAAAAAGAGTTAATCTTTATCTAGTAAAATCTTTCCCAAATCGGTTTCAAAGCAACTACAGTTTTTTAAACTTGGCCGTTTCGGGCAGATAAAGTTTGCTTTGTGTGTCAAGTTGAACATGCATAACACCTGTCAAAAACCAAGTAAGAGTTCCTTCAAACAAAGTTGAAGTTATATTATTACAAAACTTCTCTCCAGTTATGTATATGATTTAATTACCGACCGAGCTCGAGGTCACCTTAAAGACCATAGACGCCACTTTAAGCTCGCAAAGAGAGGCGACAAGCAAAGAACAATTCCATCATGCATAAAATTCAGCTTAAGTGAACTGAAAAAGCCTCAATGAGGTTGCAAAACAACAAATTTCCATTAAAAAAAAAATAAGGCTTAAGACTCTTATACCCGCTGACAATGAAGAAGATCTTAAAGGCAAGAGATCAGTTGCAAGCTTGGCACCCAAGCCATGATTCACCATTTAGTTATTTTTAAAAACTGGTCCATGCGAGGGACTTCATTCAAGCAAATTAAACTCAGCAAACTGAAAACCAAAAAGTACAGAAAACTGCACGTAAGGCTTTGTTTTGCTCGCTTCAGTCAAATCCAGCTCCAGCAATTGTTTACGGGCAAAGAGTCAATTGCTTTGAAGTCACTGGCGGCAGTTGTCGTTCTCAGCTACTTCACAGCGAGTGAAAAGGAAAATTTGCGTACAGAAAGAAAACAAAACTACGAAATTAAAAATGAAAAAAGAAAAAAAAACTCTGACTATTATTACTTGAGCAACAGAAAAGTGATCGAAGTAGCCTGTTCTTCTCGAATAAGCTTGCGAGCCTTCTATAGTTCTGAGGAAGTTTTAAGCGCTCAAGTTTGTTCACTCGCAAGCGTTAGCATTACGGTTCTTTGACAAAAAGCCAAGGATAAAGCTGGTTCTGCAAAGGTAAATAAATTTGGGCATGTAAAAAAACTAACCGTAACTACCAGTGTAAAATGGGGTTGACAGGCCTACACGACTCCCCAGCGCGTGTTTAAAATAGACTTTCTATAGTTTGGCTCTCACGAGTATGTCTTTGAGCGACCGCCCTCTTTTATAAGATACGAGGGACGGTTTTTTGTAGATTTCTCTCAGTAATGGTTGTTGTTCTATTAAATGCCAGTTTTTCATGAGAATTTGCTTTAGGTTTGGGACTGATGGTTAGCTGATGGTTGGTATTGTGTGACAAAAGGCAAGATTCGTTGGTTTGTCTTTGGTTTCTGTTGAAGGGCTAGTTTCCTGTCTTTGAAGTTCACCTCTGAGAGGGTTGTGTTAATAAGATCCTCTGGGTAACCCCTCTGTAGCAGATGCGCTTTGAAATTTGTAATTTTCTCTTCGAATATTAGTTTGGAAGGGTTTGTTCCGAGGAGTCGGAGGGCTTCCCCTTTAATGAAGCCTTTTTTAACTCCTTGTGGGTGACAGGAAGCAAAATGGGTATACTGAAATGTCTCAGTTGGTTTGAAATGAGTACGCACATCAAGGATTGCGTCTCTTTCGAATCTTTCGCCTTTGTAGATGTAGGTGTCCAGGAATGTTGTTTCCTTATCGGAAATTTCAGCCGTAAACTTGATCGTAGGGTGATGATTGTTTGCTTGTTCAATGAAATGTTCTATTCTGTCTCTGTTTGTAGTCCAGAGCGAGAAGATGTCGTCTATGTAACGTTTCCAAACGAGCGGTTTAAAAAGGCTTTGGCTAAGGATTTCCGTCTCTACCTTGTTCATGAATATATTAGAAAAGGTGACTGCCATTTTCGTGCCCATGGCCGTACCATGTGTTTGAAGGTAGTGTTTTCCATTAAAGTGGAAAGAATTTTCTTGGAGAATTAGCCTGAGCGCTCGTTTTAGTAGTTGTTTAGGGATAGGAGGTTCGTTTCTATAGAATATTTCGTATGCTCTGCATACCGTGTCTATTCCTTCCTCTTGCGGTATATTTGCATACAAGCTCGTAACGTCCATTGAAACAAGTATGACGTCCACTGGGACTTTCGTATTTTTTATACTAATAACAAAATACAAGCGGGTTTCAATTCAGCCCAGCGAAAGAAGGTGAAGCACTGGACGCAAAATCAATTCACAAATCGAATGCACAATTGTCAGAAAAATACAAACCTCGTTTGAAATGTTCAAAACATTTTATTCCTCCTCAGACTGACGGAATGATCTGTTTTTACTCTAACATTGGTTGTTCTGGATCCAAAGTAATTTTCAAGTGACGAAAAAACAACAACAACATCAAAAACAAAAAAAAGCCTTTACAAGGAGCAAACGTTCGCACCTCGTATATTTGATTCAGTCTCAGTCAGAACTCTCACAGAACGAGACAAACAAACGCAGGCGATAAGGGATGCGCAGAAGCTTGCGCAGAACGTTTTTCCGCCCTAAAAGACCAACATTGACGTCACGTAGTCTCCAGTCTATCGCGCGGCCATTTCAGAAACGTTTTCGTGAAGTCTTCGGAAATGCTCGGATTTTGATCTTTGATCTTTCTATAAAGGCTTGGGATGAAAAGTCTTTACCCAAATCTCACTTAGGATGTTTCTTTTTAGTGTTTGGTGAAGGTAAAGCGACAAAAGAAAATATTTCAATTTTTTGGTTCATTTGACCTTTAAGTCGGATTATTATTCTGCAATAGAAGATTATCAGAATAATATCTAAAGTTTCTTTTGATTCTCATACCGGTGCTCTAAAAAATTCTCGGACATTTATTTATACCAGAAAGGTAAAGTTATGTATCTTTTTAAAAGAGGTTTACTTCTTAATTATTTGCGTGATATGTTTACTCTTGGAAGCAAGATCCATTCCTATAATACAAGAAATTCCAGCCCTTTTTATATACCTTATTGTCGAGCTAATTTTTCAAAAATCCTCAATTCGGTTTCAAGGTCCTAAGTTTTTCAACTCGCTAAGGCCCAGTTCAGACGCCGGACTTTTCATGAGCCGAACCTAGTTCGAATTATGGCCGAGGCAAATTATTTAGACCTGATAAATTGATTCAGGCGCCGATCTTAATTGCAGCTGAACACGTTGTAATAATTTATGCATAATTAAGTTCGGCATCTGAAGCAAGCCGTTCCAAAGGCGCTCCAAATGCGAAATTCCCGGCCGGACTAGGCGAAAAGAACGGCTGAGCCGTTCCAAATTGAAACAGGTGTTCCTAATTGATTCAGATGCCAAACTTTTCATGTACTTAATACAATGTATTAGGTTCGGCTCGTAAAAAGTTCAGCGTCTCAACCGAGCCTAAGTCGTAAAATTCAAAACAGTACAAGTATCAGTTTGTTTAGCAAAAGACTTTTAAAAAGTCCCTTCTTTCATAGTCAAATATGCTCTTTGTTGACCTATATAACTTTTCTTTCACTTTGTTCCTTTTTCTTTTTTCCTTTTCTTTTCTTCACTTTTAAAAAATTAATCCATTTTTCATTCAGTACCCTTCACTCACATGGTTTACCCTATAGTTCCAGGAAGCCTATAGTTTATAAGCCCCCGGCTTCTATATAGGCTTCCTTCTCATTACCACTTAAAACATTTAATTTTGTAAATAATTTTAGTTAAAAAAGTGTATATTGCCTTTAATGTATTATAAATTTCTTGTTAATTGTTGTTGTATTTATATGCGGTTAATAATGGCACAAATAAATGAATGAATGAATGAATGAATGAATGAACTCTACTTCGGCTAACCTGTCATCAAGTACCTCGCCAATTTGAATCTTGTGTAGTTATGTTTTCAGATATTTATTTGTGGTCAATCTTTACCATGTCCTTCTCTCCTCAGACACTAATGACTGTTATCCAAACCCGTGTCTGAACAACGGAACATGTACAGACGGAGTGAATAACTACACCTGCACTTGCGTGCCTGGCTTTGTAGGGAAGAATTGCTCAAATAGTAAGTCTTTTAACATCAAGTCTTAGTATTGAGATTTTCGGATTCAGTCTGAAAAGTGAATGGTAATATTATTTCAAGTGAATCGGCGCACGACCTCGCTCGTTCCTTTTGGAAAAGTCATTTTGAATAACTTACAGATATGAAGTTTCCTTACCTCTTTTAAAACTTAAATACTTAAATACGACCATCCCTCTTGATCTTACAAAGGAAAAGAGAAAACAATACATAATTATGCCTTGGTTATTACTAATTTGGGCAAGATTACTTTTAAAAGAATTTTCCTTCTGGGGTGCCCGTGTGGAATAAAACTGAATGCCTTCAATTAAGGTGCAATGTGAATCTTGTATAGTTATCTTTTCCATGTAGATATGGATATTTTATTGTGGTCAATCATTACGATGTCCTTCTCTCCTCAGACACTTATAACTGTTATCCAAACCCGTGTCTAACCCTTTAAGACCTGAATTTATTTTTCGCACATTTTAAGATCTAAGGCCGGTATTGTTAAATGCACTGCATCTTCCTTGAAATTTAAGGTATCAACATAAACTCTGGATATCTGGTAGACAAGACTTTGGGCTATCTGCCAAGCCACTTTTTATTCATAAGTAACTAATAAATAATAATTAACAGGTTGTTAAATATTAAGTTCACGTCACGCAACAAGTTTTACTGCAGGAGTCTAAATCTAAAGCAAATTTACTGAGGATTATTTTCATACCACATTTGCCTACCTTTGATACTATCAAGGTTATATTCTGTCCACAAAATACAGCATGGTTGGGTGTTACACCTTCGTAGGCCCAACCTTATTAATTGAAAGTGAGAACTTCTGGATCGCTTTCTAGGAGCTAAACATAAACATCCAAACAAATGTTTTGTGGCCTTCCAGGATGAGAAAAATCTTAATCCCTGTTGAAATCATCAACGTGTATGTCCCGAAGACTGAGTTTTTCCTCTTCTTCTTCTCCCTGGTTTGAAAAAATTTCATTACTCCGTCCTTGCTATCTTCTTCAAGGGGTATACAATATTGCACTAATATATTAGGGAGTCTATATGGAGACTGCCATGAATTACTTGCCCTTCTTCAATATCCGAAACATGCCATGATCGGGTATCTCAAAGTTTCCATCCAAAATAATCCAAAAAATCGTTCAAATTATACCGTGTCCTATGCTCAGACATGTTACAGAACTAAAATTAAGCTTACTCTTGCTGTAACAAATCGAAAATGTCGCAGAAACTGGTTCAAAACATCTCATAATGGCGAACAAAATAATCCACTAGACGTTGCAAAGAAGGGGGGGGGGGGGTCTGGAAACTAAGTTTGCCGAAACTGCTGGTCAAATGACTGTGGGCCATATCATATCATATGTACAGTACCGCAAATGATCCCCAACCGCAAATGATCCCCGCGAGACCGCAAATGATCCCCAAAATGGACCGCAAATGATGCTCGACCGCAAGTGATCCCCAAAGTCGACCGCAAATGATCCCGAAAGAAAAACAGGAATGACCTGGACTCAAGTTAGCGGATCATCGTGTCGATTTTATTATTATTACAACAAGTCAGGTTAAAAGCTAAATTTTACTTCTCAAATAAATATATGAATAAAAACTAAATGAAAAAAATCATTCAAGAGTAAACACGAAGTAGGTAGGCAACACACGACTTTTACCTCGTGCTAAAATGCTGCTTGTTCCAATGACTTTTTTCCCGCTCTGGCGGGTAGATTATACCTCTGAGGAAAACGTTTTGACTGAGCAAATGTGATTTTTGCTGCTTATTTCATAGTGAGAGGTCATGACACGCATTTTCTGCGGTTATTGTTGTTTTTGGTCGGCATGATTTGCCCTTTGATGCAAGAGCATTTCCTTTGACCCCTTTTGAAATACAGTGCTCTTCATTGCCGCTAAATAAGAGTTTTAGGTTGTTTAATTTTCTCCTAAGTGCTTCCTGGATCCGAATAATCATAAGCGATTTTCTTTTAGTTCGTGAATGTGACGGTTTCTTACGATGTTTTGTCACGCGATAACTACCGCTTACCTGGCTTTGCGTTTCTCATTACCAGGTTTAGATTTCTGGTAACTGTCTTCAGCAAAGCACAACAAATGAATATACATAAAAACGCTAATATAACTATTCACAACACGTTCATGAGATGTAAGAAAGTTGCTATTTCGAAATGAACCGAAACCTGTGGACATTGATAAGTTCGGGGGCATTTTGACTTGTGTTTATGTTAAATCATGTCTTGTTTCGTAATGGGCACCTAAGTTACGAACAAACGTCTTGCTGTTTATCACATAAAATTAACACTTCAGAGAAAAATCAAAATGAAATATTCTGGCTGATTAATTTCACGCTTTCAAAAAGATCAGTAAAGTCAATAAAGCTCTTGTTAGGTAGAGGGTGCCCGGCTTTATATTCCTCAATAGAAAGGTTGAGCTTCTAGGCGTTAAAATAATTTTTCTGCGTAACGTCCTGCCTGTCTTAAATTTTTCAAAAGACGAAACATTCTTGAAAGAAAATTTAAGCAATCGACAAAGGAAGAAGTATACGGTTAATACCATACCTTTTCAGATTTATTCCATTTTTTTTTTCGCCTCGTATAAATTGACCTGAGATGTAGCGTCCTCCTTCCCTTTTTCTTTAAAAGGCGAGAGAAAAAGGTTTCTTTTTTATAATCAGTCCTTTTTTGTAATCAGTCCCATAAAATCCATTCCATTCCTCAAGTTTTCACGGGATCATTTGCGGTCGACTTTAGGGATCACTTGCGGTCGAGGATCATTTGCGGTCCATTTTGGGGATCATTTGCGGTCTCGGGATCATTTGCGGTTGGGGATCATTTGCGGTACTGTACAGATCGTACAAATTTGTACGATTCGGTCTTAAAGCTGCCTCGTCCCCAGTCGCTCGCGATCACTGGGGGATATTTGAGTTAATTATTAAGGAAAGCGGGGAATAAAACTGAATGCCGTCAATTAATGTGCAATGTGAATCTTGTCTAGTTATCTTTTCCATGTAGGTTTAGATATTTTATTGTGGTCAATCATTACGATCTCCTTCTCTCCTTAGACACTGATGACTGTTATCCAAACCCGTGTCTAAACAACGGAACATGTATAGACGGGGTGAATGACTACAAGTGCAGTTGCATGCCTGGCTTTGATGGGAAGAATTGCTCAAATAGTAAGCCGTTTAAAATCATTCTTTGCATTAAGGTGGCTCCCTAGAGTAAATTGGCCGTGCGCAGCCTGAGCACTAGTATGGCGCGAGCTTTAAAATCCGCGCGACGTCCACGCAAAAATTAAAACAAACATGACCTCTCAGTTTCGAAATATTTCCCCCAAAAAACTTTATTAACTTTCTATTGAAGCTCATTGTGCAAAAATTTTGATTAGTGTAGGTCAAACATTTATGAGAGGAGACAATGTTACACCGGTTACAAGTCACTATCGATCTCCAAAAGAGTAAATTGTATGTAAAAACAAATTAAAAGCAGAAATTTTCCAAAGACATCTATTCTTTCGCTTCAAAAGTAGACAAACGTTAAATAGTCGCAGTAAATGGACAATGTTTTTGCACAACGAGAATTAATTTTTACTCACAGATTGACCCTTGACGAAAGCAATAGTTGTCCGTCGAGACCTACGGTCTTGTACATGTAGCTGAGGACGTGATGTACGATTTATAGATCGGTGCCATCTTTTATAATTTACAGCAGACTTTTAAAGAAAACCTTCGCCGTCGAAATTTTCCCTAAAGAAGAAAAAGGTTGAAAAAGTATCCGGAAGTGGGCTGACGTTTGAAGATCTGTAAACAGTGTACAGCAGATTAGGAAATGAAGGGCTTATTGCGATCCTTGCACAACCACCGTCTTCATCGTCGACGATCGCAATACTCACGAGTGACCACCACGGTTCGAATTTTAGCTACAATAGTTAAGTACTTCGAAGAAAACATCCTGTGTTAAGTATAAAATTGAATCCGCTCTCTCTCTTTTTTCAACTGGCGAGATATCACCGTAATAATACTAATAAACGGCTTCAAAACAATCGATTTCGCACTCTTCAAAAAAACCACATGTTTTCAGTAGCTTTGTGCATTATGCGCGTGCGGGCGTGATGGTTGGCGCGCGTATTTTGCTCATACGACCCCGAACCACGCGTGTTTTTCGGATTTTTGTGACGTCAACGTAGTTAACTAACCGTGAATTTCTCGCGTTTCCTTCGGTAAATCTTTTTAAAAATCGCCTCATTTCTTCACAGTTGCAGTACCTTTGTACTGTCCTATTTTTGTTAAAATCTGTAAGAGCTAAATTCCTCCATTAAGAAAAATTACAAATTTCAAGATATTGGCAAAACCGTCTTAACGACCCCATGTTTTTTCCACTTTAAAATGTTAAGCAATATCGTTAATATAAAGTGGCCAAGTTTAAAGACATTTCACCGAGAAAAATAAGAAATATTAAGAAAAAATGATCAAAAATGACAAAATTATTGCCTGGCTATGGGTGCGATGTTGCTATGGCAACGGTCTTAATCCAGAAAATAAAACTTGATACGGGAGCCTTCTTATATCGGTAACCTTGACGGTGAATCTCGTGAACAAAATCGCAAAGACAAGGTAACTAGATTTCGTTCTGTAACGTATGCTTGACAGCTAGGGTTGTTAGTAACTACTCTAGGGAGCCACAATAAGATTTTCACTTTCATTCCGAACAGTGAATGGTAATCGTGTCCCAAGTTAATAGGTGCACGCCCTCGCACATTTCTTTTGCTGTAGTAGTTTTTCATAACCTAACTTAGGGACATGAGGTTTCCTTATTTCTTTTAAAACTAAATACTAGGACTATCCCTAAAATTCAAATCAATAGATAATTTTTTCTTCACAATTACTGATTTGGGTAAGATTAGATCCTTCAAATTACACGGGAAAAGGCAAAGCAATACATAATTATCCCTTGGTTATTACCCACGTTTGGGCAAGATTACTTTTAAAAGAATTTCTTTTCTGGACTACCCATGTAGATTAAAACTGAATGCAGTCATTAAATGCTCAATGTGAATCTTGTATAGTTATGTTCTCCATGTACATATAAATCTTTAATTGTGGTCAATCCTAACCATGTCTTTCTCTCCTTAGACACTGATAACTGTCATCCAAACCCGTGTCTAAACAACGGAACATGTATAGACGGAGTGGATGACTACAAGTGTACCTGCGTGCCTGGCTTTGTAGGGAAGAATTGCTCAAATAGTAAGCCTTTTAAACCAGTCTTAGCATGAAGATTTTCGGATTCAGTCTAAACAGTGAATGGTAATCGTGTTCGAAGTGAATTGGCCAACGACCTCGCTCATTGTTTTTGGAAAAGCCGTTTACGGATATAAACTTTCTTTACTTCTTTTTAAAATTAATACTAGGACTATCCCTAGAATGCAAATCAATATATAATAAAACGTTGGCTATTACTAATTTAGGCAAGATTAGTTTCTTCATGTTACACAGGAAAAGGCAAAACAATACATCATTATGCCTTGGTTATTAAAACAGATAAATAAATAAATATACCGTTTATTTGCCACATTGCAGAACTAACTGAATTAAAACGCTAAAAATTATTAATTAACAAATAATTAACACTACTACTACTATAGAAACAAAAGAAATGTCTTGAATAACTATTTTCATATTCACATATTTACTAGCCAATGAAATAAAGGAACCTGAATGCTGGGTTAGGCAACAACTCCTAACTAATTTAGGCAAGATTACTTTTAATAAAATTAACTTCCCTTGTGGAGTGGCCATGTGGAATAAAACTGAATGCCGTCAATTAATGTGCAATGTGAATCTTGTGTAGTTATATTTCCGTGTAGATACGGATATTTTATTGTGGTTAATCCTTACCATGTCCTTCTCTCCTCAGACAATGATAACTGTTATCCAAACCCGTGTCTAAACAACGGAACATGTACAGACGGAGTAAATGACTACACCTGCATTTGCGTGCCTGGCTTTGTAGGGAAGAATTGCTCAAATAGTAAGCCTTTTAAAATCAAGTGTTACTATTAAGTTTTTCGTATTCAGTCTGAACTGTGAATGGTAATCGTGTTCCAAGTGAATAGGCGTACGATCTAGCTCGTTTCTTGTAGAAAAGTCCTTTTGCATAGGTTACAGACAGGAAAAGTTTTCTTACCTTTTTAAAAAATTAATACTCGGACTATCCCTAAAAGGCAAATCAATACATAATTATGCCTTGGTCATCACCAATTTGGGTAAAGTTAGTGTCTTCATGTTACACAGAAAAAAGCAAAACAATACATAATTGTGCCTTGGTTATTACTAATTTGGGTAAGATTACTTTTAAAAGAATTTTCCTTCTGAATGCCATCAATTAATGTGCAATGTGAATCTTGTATAGTTATCTTTTCCATGTAGGTTTAGATATTTTATTCTGGTCAATCATTACGATGTCCTTCTTTCCTCAGACACTGATAACTGTTATCGAAACCCGTGTCTAAACAACGGAACATGTATAGACGGAGTGGACGACTACAAGTGTACCTGCGTGCCTGGCTTTGCGGGGAAGAACTGCTCAAACAGTAAGGCATTAAAATCAAGTGTTAGTATTGAGATTTTTGGATTCAGTGGGAACAGTGAGTGGTAATCGTGTTCCGAGTAAATCGCCGCACGACTTCGGTTCTTTCTTTTGGAAAAGTCGTTTTGGTTTAGTTACAAATATGAAGTTTCCTTACCTCTTTTATAAATTAAAACTAGGACTATCCCTTTTCTTGTGGTGTGCTTATGTGGAATAAATCTAAATGTCGTCAATTAATGCGCAATGTGAATCTTGTAGAGTGATGTTTTTCGTCTAGCTATCGATATTTTATTGTGGTCAATCCTTTCCATGTCCTTCTCTCCTTAGACACTGATGACTGTTATCCAAACCCGTGTCTAAACAACGGAACATGTATAGACGGAGTAAATGACTACACCTGCATTTGCGTGCCTGGCTTTGATGGGAAGAATTGCTCAAATAGTAAGCCTTTTAAAATCAAGTGTTACTATTAAGTTTTTCGTATTCAGTCTGAACTGTGAATGGTAATCGTGTTCCAAGTGAATAGGCGTACGATGTAGCTCGTTTCTTTTAGAAAAGTCCTTTTGCATAGGTTACAGACATGAAAAGTTTTCTTACCTTTTTAAAAAATTAATACTCGGACTATCCCTAAAAGGCAAATCAATACATAATTATGCCTTGGTCATCACCAATTTGGGTAAGGTTAGTGCCTTCATGTTACACAGAAAAAAGTCATAATTGTGCCTTGGTTATCATTACGATGTCCTTCTTTCCTCAGACACTGATAACTGTTATCCAAACCCGTGTCTAAACAACGGAACATGTATAGACGGAGTGGATGAGTACGAGTGCCTTTGCGTGCCTGGCTTTGTAGGGAAGAATTGCTCAAATAGTAAGCCTTTAAAACCAGTCTTAGCATGAAGATTTGATCGGATTCAGTCTAAACAGTGAATGCTAATCGTGTTCGAAGTGAATTGGCCAACGACCTCGCTCATTGTTTTTGGAAAAGCCGTTTTCACTAAGTTACGGATATAAACTTTCTTTACTTCTTTTTAAAATTAATACTAGGACTATCCCTAGAATGCAAATCAATATATAATAAAACGTTGGCTATTACAAATCTATGCAAGATTAGTTTCTTCGTGTTACACAGGAAAAGGCAAAACAATACATCATTATGCCTTGGTTATTAAAACAGATAAATAAATAAAGATACCGTTTATTTGCCACATTGCAGAACTAACTGAATTAAAAGGCTATCAATTATTAATTAACAAATAATTAACACTACTACTACTATAGAAACAAAAGAAATATCTTGAATAACTATTTACATATTCACATATTTACTAGCCAATGAAATAGAGGAACCTGAATGCTGGGTTAGGCAACAACTCCTAACTAATTTGGGCAAGATTACTTTTAATAAAATTAACTTCCCTTGTAGAGTGGCCATGTGGAATAAAACTGAATGCCGTCAATTAATGTGCAATGTGAATCTTGTATAGTTATATTTCCGTGTAGATAGGGATATTTTATTGTGGTCAATCCTTACCATGTCCTTCTCTCCTCAGACACTGATAACTGTTATCCAAACCCGTGTCTAAACAACGGAACATGTACAGACGGAGTAAATGACTACACCTGCATTTGCGTGCCTGGCTTTGTAGGGAAGAATTGCTCAAATAGTAAGCCTTTTAAAATCAAGTGTTACTATTAAGTTTTTCGTATTCAGTCTGAACTGTGAATGGTAATCGTGTTCCAAGTGAATAGGCGTACGATGTAGCTCGTTTCTTTTAGAAAAGTCCTTTTGCATAAGTTACAGACATGAAAAGTTTTCTTACCTTTTTAAAAAATTAATACTCGGACTATCCCTAAAAGGCAAATCAATACATAATTATGCCTTGGTCATCACCAATTTGGGTAAGGTTAGTGCCTTCATGTTACACAGAAAAAAGCAAAACAATACATAATTGTGCCTTGGTTATTACTAATTTGGGTAAGATTACTTTTAAAAGAATTTTCCTTCTAATTGCCGTCAATTAATGTGCAATGTGAATGTTGTATAGTTATCTTTTCCATGTAGGTTTAAATATTTTATTGTGGTCAATCATTACGATGTCCTTCTTTCCTCAGACACTGATAACTGTTATCCAAACCCGTGTCTAAACAACGGAACATGTATAGACAGAGTGGATGACTACAAGTGTACCTGCGTGCCTGGCTTTGTGGGGAAGAACTGCTCAAACAGTAAGGCATTAAAATCAAGTGTTAGTATTGAGATTTTTGGATTCAGTGGGAACAGTGAGTGGTAATCGTGTTCCGAGTAAATCGCCGCACGACTTCGGTTCTTTCTTTTGGAAAAGTCGTTTTGGTTTAGTTACAAATATGAAGTTTCCTTACCTCTTTTATAAATTAAAACTAGGACTATCCCTTTTCTTGTGGTGTGCTTATGTGGAATAAATCTAAATGTCGTCAATTAATGCGCAATGTGAATCTTGTAGAGTGATGTTTTTCGTCTAGCTATCGATATTTTATTGTGGTCAATCCTTTCCATGTCCTTTTCTCCTTAGACACTGATGACTGTTATCCAAACCCGTGTCTAAACAACGGAACATGTATAGACGGGGTGAATGACTACAAGTGCAGTTGCGTGCCTGGCTTTGATGGGAAGAATTGCTCAAATAGTAAGCCGTTTAAAATCATTCTTTGCATTAAGATTTTCAGTTTCAGTCTGAACAGTGAATGGTAATCGTGTTCCAAGTAAATAGGTGCACGCCCTCGCACATTTCTTTTGGTGTAGTAGTTTTTCATAACCTAAGTTAGAGACATAAAGGTTTCCTTATTTCTTTTAAAACTAAATAATAGGACTATCCCTAAAAGGCAAATCAATGGATAATTTTTTCTTCGCCATTACTGATTTGGGTAAGATTAGTTTCTTCAGGTTACACGGGAAAAGGCAAAGCAACACATTATTATCCCTTGGTTATTACCCATGTTTGGGCAAGATTACTTTTAAAAGAATTTCTTTTCTGGAGTACCCATGTAGATTAAAACTGATTGCAGTCATTATTAAATGCTCAATATGAATCTTTGTATGGTTATGTTGTCCATGTACATATAAATGTTTAATTGTGGTCAATCCTAACCATGTCTTTCTCTCCTTAGATACTGATGACTGTTATCCAAACCCGTGTCTAAACAACGGAACATGTATAGACGGAGTGGATGACTACGAGTGCCTTTGCGTGCCTGGCTTTGTAGGGAAGAATTGCTCAAATAGTAAGCCTTTAAAACCAGTCTTAGCATGAAGATTTTCGGATTCAGTCTAAACAGTGAACGGTAATCGTGTTCGAAGTGAATTGGCCAACGACCTCGCTCATTGTTTTTGGAAAAGCCGTTTTCACTAAGTTACGGATATAAACTTTCTTTACTTCTTTTTAAAATTAATACTAGGACTATCCCTAGAATGCAAATCAATATATAATAAAACGTTGGCTATTACTAATCTAGGCAAGATTAGTTTCTTCATGTTACACAGGAAAAGGCAAAACAATACATCATTATGCCTTGGTTATTAAAACAGATAAATAAGTAAAGATACCGTTTATTTGCCACATTGCAGAACTAACTGAATTAAAAGGCTATCAATTATTAATTAACAAATAATTAACACTACTACTACTATAGAAACAAAAGAAATATCTTGAATAACTATTTACATATTCACATATTTACTGGCCAATGAAATAGAGGAACCTGAATGCTGGGTTAGGCAACAACTCCTAACTAATTTGGGCAAGATTACTTTTAATAAAATTAACTTCCCTTGTAGAGTGGCCATGTGGAATAAAACTGAATGCCGTCAATTAATGTGCAATGTGAATCTTGTATAGTTATATTTCCGTGTAGATAGGGATATTTTATTGTGGTCAATCCTTACCATGTCCTTCTCTCCTCAGACACTGATAACTGTTATCCAAACCCGTGTCTAAACAACGGAACATGTACAGACGGAGTAAATGACTACACCTGCATTTGCGTGCCTGGCTTTGTAGGGAAGAATTGCTCAAATAGTAAGCCTTTTAAAATCAAGTGTTACTATTAAGTTTTTCGTATTCAGTCTGAACTGTGAATGGTAATCGTGTTCCAAGTGAATAGGCGTACGATGTAGCTCGTTTCTTTTAGAAAAGTCCTTTTGCATAAGTTACAGACATGAAAAGTTTTCTTACCTTTTTAAAAAATTAATACTCGGACTATCCCTAAAAGGCAAATCAATACATAATTATGCCTTGGTCATCACCAATTTGGGTAAGGTTAGTGCCTTCATGTTACACAGAAAAAAGCAAAACAATACATAATTGTGCCTTGGTTATTACTAATTTGGGTAAGATTACTTTTAAAAGAATTTTCCTTCTAAATGCCGTCAATTAATGTGCAATGTGAATGTTGTATAGTTATCTTTTCCATGTAGGTTTAGATATTTTATTGTGGTCAATCATTACGATGTCCTTCTTTCCTCAGACACTGATAACTGTTATCCAAACCCGTGTCTAAACAACGGAACATGTATAGACAGAGTGGATGACTACAAGTGTACCTGCGTGCCTGGCTTTGTGGGGAAGAACTGCTCAAACAGTAAGGCATTAAAATCAAGTGTTAGTATTGAGATTTTTGGATTCAGTGGGAACAGTGAGTGGTAATCGTGTTCCGAGTAAATCGCACACGACTTCGGTTCTTTCTTTTGGAAAAGTCGTTTTGGTTTAGTTACAAATATGAAGTTTCCTTACCTCTTTTATAAATTAAAACTAGGACTATCCCTTTTTCTTGTGGTGTGCTTATGTGGAATAAATCTAAATGTCGTCAATTAATGCGCAATGTGAATCTTGTAGAGTGATGATTTTCGTCTAGCTATCGATATTTTATTGTGGTCAATCCTTTCCATGTCCTTCTCTCCTTAGACACTGATGACTGTTATCCAAACCCGTGTCTAAACAACGGAACATGTATAGACGGGGTGAATGACTACAAGTGCAGTTGCGTGCCTGGCTTTGATGGGAAGAATTGCTCAAATAGTAAGCCGTTTAAAATCATTCTTTGCATTAAGATTTTCAGTTTCAGTCTGAACAGTGAATGGTAATCGTGTTCCAAGTAAATAGGTGCACGCCCTCGCACATTTCTTTTGGTGTAGTAGTTTTTCATAACCTAAGTTAGAGACATAAAGGTTTCCTTATTTCTTTTAAAACTAAATAATAGGACTATCCCTAAAAAGGCAAATCAATGGATAATTTTTTTTCTTCGCCATTACTGATTTGGGTAAGATTAGTTTCTTCAGGTTACACGGGAAAAGGCAAAGCAATACATAATTATCCCTTGGTTATTACCCATGTTTGGGCAAGATTACTTTTAAAATAATTTCTTTTCTGGAGTACCCATGTAGATTAAAACTGATTGCAGTCATTATTAAATGCTCAATGTGAATCTTGTATAGTTATGTTGTCCATGTACATATAAATGTTTAATTGTGGTCAATCCTAACCATGTCTTTCTCTCCTTAGATACTGATGACTGTTATCCAAACCCGTGTCTAAACAACGGAACATGTATAGACGGAGTGGATGAGTACGAGTGCCTTTGCGTGCCTGGCTTTGTAGGGAAGAATTGCTCAAATAGTAAGCCTTTAAAACCAGTCTTAGCATGAAGATTTTCGGATTCAGTCTAAACAGTGAACGGTAATCGTGTTCGAAGTGAATTGGCCAACGACCTCGCTCATTGTTTTTGGAAAAGCCGTTTTCACTAAGTTACGGATATAAAGTTTCTTTACTTCTTTTTAAAATTAATACTAGGACTATCCCTAGAATGCAAATCAATATATAATAAAACGTTGGCTATTACTAATCTAGGCAAGATTAGTTTCTTCATGTTACACAGGAAAAGGCAAAACAATACATCATTATGCCTTGGTTATTAAAACAGATAAATAAATAAATATACCGTTTATTTGCCACATTGCAGAACTAACTGAATTAAAAGGCTATCAATTATTAATTAACAAATAATTAACACTACTACTACTATAGAAACAAAAGAAATATCTTGAATAACTATTTACATATTCACATATTTACTAGCCAATGAAATAGAGGAACCTGAATGCTGGGTTAGGCAACAACTCCTAACTAATTTGGGCAAGATTACTTTTAATAAAATTAACTTCCCTTGTAGAGTGGCCATGTGGAATAAAACTGAATGCCGTCAATTAATGTGCAATGTGAATCTTGTATAGTTATATTTCCGTGTAGATAGGGATATTTTATTGTGGTCAATCCTTACCATGTCCTTCTCTCCTCAGACACTGATAACTGTTATCCAAACCCGTGTCTAAACAACGGAACATGTACAGACGGAGTAAATGACTACACCTGCATTTGCGTGCCTGGCTTTGTAGGGAAGAATTGCTCAAATAGTAAGCCTTTTAAAATCAAGTGTTACTATTAAGTTTTTCGTATTCAGTCTGAACTGTGAATGGTAATCGTGTTCCAAGTGAATAGGCGTACGATGTAGCTCGTTTCTTTTAGAAAAGTCCTTTTGCATAAGTTACAGACATGAAAAGTTTTCTCACCTTTTTAAAAAATTAATACTCGGACTATCCCTAAAAGGCAAATCAATACATAATTATGCCTTGGTCATCACCAATTTGGGTAAGGTTAGTGCCTTCATGTTACACAGAAAAAAGCAAAACAATACATAATTGTGCCTTGGTTATTACTAATTTGGGTAAGATTACTTTTAAAAGAATTTTCCTTCTAAATGCCGTCAATTAATGTGCAATGTGAATGTTGTATAGTTATCTTTTCCATGTAGGTTTAGATATTTTATTGTGGTCAATCATTACGATGTCCTTCTTTCCTCAGACACTGATAACTGTTATCCAAACCCGTGTCTAAACAACGGAACATGTATAGACAGAGTGGATGACTACAAGTGTACCTGCGTGCCTGGCTTTGTGGGGAAGAACTGCTCAAACAGTAAGGCATTAAAATCAAGTGTTAGTATTGAGATTTTTGGATTCAGTGGGAACAGTGAGTGGTAATCGTGTTCCGAATAAATCGCCGCACGACTTCGGTTCTTTCTTTTGGAAAAGTCGTTTTGGTTTAGTTACAAATATGAAGTTTCCTTACCTCTTTTATAAATTAAAACTAGGACTATCCCTTTTTCTTGTGGTGTGCTTATGTGGAATAAATCTAAATGTCGTCAATTAATGCGCAATGTGAATCTTGTAGAGTGATGATTTTCGTCTAGCTATCGATATTTTATTGTGGTCAATCCTTTCCATGTCCTTCTCTCCTTAGACACTGATGACTGTTATCCAAACCCGTGTCTAAACAACGGAACATGTATAGACGGGGTGAATGACTACAAGTGCAGTTGCGTGCCTGGCTTTGATGGGAAGAATTGCTCAAATAGTAAGCCGTTTAAAATCATTCTTTGCATTAAGATTTTCAGTTTCAGTCTGAACAGTGAATGGTAATCGTGTTCCAAGTAAATAGGTGCACGCCCTCGCACATTTCTTTTGGTGTAGTAGTTTTTCATAACCTAAGTTAGAGACATAAAGGTTTCCTTATTTCTTTTAAAACTAAATAATAGGACTATCCCTAAAAGGCAAATCAATGGATAATTTTTTCTTCGCCATTACTGATTTGGGTAAGATTAGTTTCTTCAGGTTACACGGGAAAAGGCAAAGCAATACATAATTATCCCTTGGTTATTACCCATGTTTGGGCAAGATTACTTTTAAAAGAATTTCTTTTCTGGAGTACCCATGTAGATTAAAACTGATTGCAGTCATTATTAAATGCTCAATGTGAATCTTGTATGGTTATGTTGTCCATGTACATATAAATGTTTAATTGTGGTCAATCCTAACCATGTCTTTCTCTCCTTAGATACTGATGACTGTTATCCAAACCCGTGTCTAAACAACGGAACATGTATAGACGGAGTGGATGAGTACGAGTGCCTTTGCGTGCCTGGCTTTGTAGGGAAGAATTGCTCAAATAGTAAGCCTTTAAAACCAGTCTTAGCATGAAGATTTTCGGATTCAGTCTAAACAGTGAACGGTAATCGTGTTCGAAGTAAATTGGCCAACGACCTCGCTCATTGTTTTTGGAAAAGCCGTTTTCAATAAGTTACGGATATAAACTTTCTTTACTTCTTTTTAAAATTAATACTAGGACTATCCCTAGAATGCAAATCAATATATAATAAAACGTTGGCTATTACTAATCTATGCAAGATTAGTTTCTTCGTGTTACACAGGAAAAGGCAAAACAATACATCATTATGCCTTGGTTATTAAAACAGATAAATAAATAAAGATACCGTTTATTTGCCACATTGCAGAACTAACTGAATTAAAAGGCTATCAATTATTAATTAACAAATAATTAACACTACTACTACTATAGAAACAAAAGAAATATCTTGAATAGCTATTTACATATTCACATATTTACTAGCCAATGAAATAGAGGAACCTGAATGCTGGGTTAGGCAACAACTCCTAACTAATTTGGGCAAGATTACTTTTAATAAAATTAACTTCCCTTGTAGAGTGGCCATGTGGAATAAAACTGAATGCCGTCAATTAATGTGCAATGTGAATCTTGTATAGTTATATTTCCGTGTAGATAGGGATATTTTATTGTGGTCAATCCTTACCATGTCCTTCTCTCCTCAGACACTGATGACTGTTATCCAAACCCGTGTCTAAACAACGGAACATGTACAGACGGAGTAAATGACTACACCTGCATTTGCGTGCCTGGCTTTGTAGGGAAGAATTGCTCAAATAGTAAGCCTTTTAAAATCAAGTGTTACTATTAAGTTTTTCGTATTCAGTCTGAACTGTGAATGGTAATCGTGTTCCAAGTTAATAGTCGTACGATGTAGCTCGTTTCTTTTAGAAACAGTCCTTTTGCATAAGTTACAGACATGAAAAGTTTTCTTACCTTTTTAAAAATTAATACTCGGACTATCCCTAAAAGGCAAATCAATACATAATTATGCCTTGGTCATCACCAATTTGGGTAAGGTTAGTGCCTTCATGTTACACAGAAAAAAGCAAAACAATACATAATTGTGCCTTGGTTATTACTAATTTGGGTAAGATTACTTTTAAAAGAATTTTCCCTCTAAATGTCGTCAATTAATGTGCAATGTGAATGTTGTATAGTTATCTTTTCCATGTAGGTTTAGATATTTTATTGTGGTCAATCATTACGATGTCCTTCTTTCCTCAGACACTGATAACTGTTATCCAAACCCGTGTCTAAACAACGGAACATGTATAGACAGAGTGGATGACTACAAGTGTACCTGCGTGCCTGGCTTTGTGGGGAAGAACTGCTCAAACAGTAAGGCATTAAAATCAAGTGTTAGTATTGAGATTTTTGGATTCAGTGGGAACAGTGAGTGGTAATCGTGTTCCGAGTAAATCGCCGCACGACTTCGGTTCTTTCTTTTGGAAAAGTCGTTTTGGTTTAGTTACAAATATGAAGTTTCCTTACCTCTTTTATAAATTAAAACTAGGACTATCCCTTTTCTTGTGGTGTGCTTATGTGGAATAAATCTAAATGTCGTCAATTAATGCGCAATGTGAATCTTGTAGAGTGATGTTTTTCGTCTAGCTATCGATATTTTATTGTGGTCAATCCTTTCCATGTCCTTCTCTCCTTAGACACTGATGACTGTTATCCAAACCCGTGTCTAAACAACGGAACATGTATAGACGGGGTGAATGACTACAAGTGCAGTTGCGTGCCTGGCTTTGATGGGAAGAATTGCTCAAATAGTAAGCCGTTTAAAATCATTCTTTGCATTAAGATTTTCAGTTTCAGTCTGAACAGTGAATGGTAATCGTGTTCCAAGTAAATAGGTGCACGCCCTCGCACATTTCTTTTGGTGTAGTAGTTTTTCATAACCTAAGTTAGAGACATAAAGGTTTCCTTATTTCTTTTAAAACTAAATAATAGGACTATCCCTAAAAGGCAAATCAATGGATAATTTTTTCTTCGCCATTACTGATTTGGGTAAGATTAGTTTCTTCAGGTTACACGGGAAAAGGCGAAGCAATACATAATTATCCCTTGGTTATTACCCATGTTTGGGCAAGATTACTTTTAAAAGAATTTCTTTTCTGGAGTACCCATGTAGATTAAAACTGATTGCAGTCATTATTAAATGCTCAATGTGAATCTTGTATAGTTATGTTGTCCATGTACATATAAATGTTTAATTGTGGTCAATCCTAACCATGTCTTTCTCTCCTTAGATACTGATGACTGTTATCCAAACCCGTGTCTAAACAACGGAACATGTATAGACGGAGTGGATGACTACGAGTGCCTTTGCGTGCCTGGCTTTGTAGGGAAGAATTGCTCAAATAGTAAGCCTTTAAAACCAGTCTTAGCATGAAGATTTTCGGATTCAGTCTAAACAGTGAATGGTAATCGTGTTCGAAGTGAATTGGCCAACGACCTCGCTCATTGTTTTTGGAAAAGCCGTTTTCACTAAGTTACGGATATAAACTTTCTTTACTTCTTTTTAAAATTAATACTAGGACTATCCCTAGAATGCAAATCAATATATAATAAAACGTTGGCTATTACTAATCTAGGCAAGATTAGTTTCTTCATGTTACACAGGAAAAGGCAAAACAATACATCATTATGCCTTGGTTATTAAGACAGATAAATAAATAAATATACCGTTTATTTGCCACATTGCAGAACTAACTGAATTAAAAGGCTATCAATTATTAATTAAAAAATAATGAAATCTACTACTACTATAGAAACAAAAGAAATATCTTGAATAACTATTTACATATTCACATATTTACTAGCCAATGAAATAGAGGAACCTGAATGCTGGGTTAGGCAACAACTCCTAACTAATTTGGGCAAGATTACTTTTAATAAAATTAACTTCCCTTGTAGAGTGGCCATGTGGAATAAAACTGAATGCCGTCAATTAATGTGCAATGTGAATCTTGTATAGTTATATTTCCGTGTAGATAGGGATATTTTATTGTGGTCAATCCTTACCATGTCCTTCTCTCCTCAGACACTGATAACTGTTATCCAAACCCGTGTCTAAACAACGGAACATGTACAGACGGAGTAAATGACTACACCTGCATTTGCGTGCCTGGCTTTGTAGGGAAGAATTGCTCAAATAGTAAGCCTTTTAAAATCAAGTGTTACTATTAAGTTTTTCGTATTCAGTCTGAACTGTGAATGGTAATCGTGTTCCAAGTGAATAGGTGTACGATGTAGCTCGTTTCTTTTAGAAAAGTCCTTTTGCATAAGTTACAGACATGAAAAGTTTTCTTACCTTTTTAAAAAATTAATACTCGGACTATCCCTAAAAGGCAAATCAAGACATAATTATGCCTTGGTCATCACCAATTTGGGTAAGGTTAGTGCCTTCATGTTACACAAAAAAAAAGCAAAACAATACATAATTGTGCCTTGGTTATTACTAATTTGGGTAAGATTACTTTTTAAAAGAATTTTCCTTCTGAATGCCGTCAATTAATGTGCAATGTGAATGTTGTATAGTTATCTTTTCCATGTAGGTTTAGATATTTTATTGTGGTCAATCATTACGATGTCCTTCTTTCCTCAGACACTGATAACTGTTATCCAAACCCGTGTCTAAACAACGGAACATGTATAGACGGAGTGGATGACTACAAGTGTACCTGCGTGCCTGGCTTTGTGGGGAAGAACTGCTCAAACAGTAAGGCATTAAAATCAAGTGTTAGTATTGAGATTTTTGGATTCAGTGGGAACAGTGAGTGGTAATCGTGTTCCGAGTAAATCGCCGCACGACTTCGGTTCTTTCTTTTGGAAAAGTCGTTTTGGTTTAGTTACAAATATGAAGTTTCCTTACCTCTTTTATAAATTAAAACTAGGACTATCCCTTTTCTTGTGGTGTGCTTATGTGGAATAAATCTAAATGTCGTCAATTAATGCGCAATGTGAATCTTGTAGAGTGATGTGTTTCGTCTAGCTATCGATATTTTATTGTGGTCAATCCTTTCCATGTCCTTCTCTCCTTAGACACTGATGACTGTTATCCAAACCCGTGTCTAAACAACGGAACATGTATAGACGGGGTGAATGACTACAAGTGCAGTTGCGTGCCTGGCTTTGATGGGAAGAATTGCTCAAATAGTAAGCCGTTTAAAATCATTCTTTGCATTAAGATTTTCAGTTTCAGTCTGAACAGTGAATGGTAATCGTGTTCCAAGTAAATAGGTGCACGCCCTCGCACATTTCTTTTGGTGTAGTAGTTTTTCATAACCTAAGTTAGAGACATAAAGGTTTCCTTATTTCTTTTAAAACTAAATAATAGGACTATCCCTAAAAGGCAAATCAATGGATAATTTTTTCTTCGCCATTACTGATTTGGGTAAGATTAGTTTCTTCAGGTTACACGGGAAAAGGCAAAGCAATACATAATTATCCCTTGGTTATTACCCATGTTTGGGCAAGATTACTTTTAAAAGAATTTCTTTTCTGGAGTACCCATGTAGATTAAAACTGATTGCAGTCATTATTAAATGCTCAATGTGAATCTTGTATAGTTATGTTGTCCATGTACATATAAATGTTTAATTGTGGTCAATCCTAACCATGTCTTTCTCTCCTTAGATACTGATGACTGTTATCCAAACCCGTGTCTAAACAACGGAACATGTATAGACGGAGTGGATGACTACGAGTGCCTTTGCGTGCCTGGCTTTGTAGGGAAGAATTGCTCAAATAGTAAGCCTTTAAAACCAGTCTTAGCATGAAGATTTTCGGATTCAGTCTAAACAGTGAATGGTAATCGTGTTCGAAGTGAATTGGCCAACGACCTCGCTCATTGTTTTTGGAAAAGCCGTTTTCACTAAGTTACGGATATAAACTTTCTTTACTTCTTTTTAAAATTAATACTAGGACTATCCCTAGAATGCAAATCAATATATAATAAATCGTTGGCTATTACTAATCTAGGCAAGATTAGTTTCTTCATGTTACACAGGAAAAGGCAAAACAATACATCATTATGCCTTGGTTATTAAAACAGATAAATAAATAAAGATACCGTTTATTTGCCACATTGCAGAACTAACTGAATTAAAAGGCTATCAATTATTAATTAACAAATAATTAACACTACTACTACTATAGAAACAAAAGAAATATCTTGAATAACTATTTACATATTCACATATTTACTAGCCAATGAAATAGAGGAACCTGAATGCTGGGTTAGGCAACAACTCCTAACTAATTTGGGCAAGATTACTTTTAATAAAATTAACTTCCCTTGTAGAGTGGCCATGTGGAATAAAACTGAATGCCGTCAATTAATGTGCAATGTGAATCTTGTATAGTTATATTTCCGTGTAGATAGGGATATTTTATTGTGGTCAATCCTTACCATGTCCTTCTCTCCTCAGACACTGATAACTGTTATCCAAACCCGTGTCTAAACAACGGAACATGTACAGACGGAGTAAATGACTACACCTGCATTTGCGTGCCTGGCTTTGTAGGGAAGAATTGCTCAAATAGTAAGCCTTTTAAAATCAAGTGTTACTATTAAGTTTTTCGTATTCAGTCTGAACTGTGAATGGTAATCGTGTTCCAAGTGAATAGGCGCTACGATGTAGCTCGTTTCTTTTAGAAAAGTCCTTTTGCATAAGTTACAGACATGAAAAAGTTTTCTTACCTTTTTAAAAATTAATACTCGGACTATCCCTAAAAGGCAAATCAATACATAATTATGCCTTGGTCATCACCAATTTGGGTAAGGTTAGTGCCTTCATGTTACACAGAAAAAAAGCAAAACAATACATAATTGTGCCTTGGTTATTACTAATTTGGGTAAGATTACTTTTTAAAAGAATTTTCCTTCTAAATGCCGTCAATTAATGTGCAATGTGAATGTTGTATAGTTATCTTTTCCATGTAGGTTTAGATATTTTATTGTGGTCAATCATTACGATGTCCTTCTTTCCTCAGACACTGATAACTGTTATCCAAACCCGTGTCTAAACAACGGAACATGTATAGACAGAGTGGATGACTACAAGTGTACCTGCGTGCCTGGCTTTGTGGGGAAGAACTGCTCAAACAGTAAGGCATTAAAATCAAGTGTTAGTATTGAGATTTTTGGATTCAGTGGGAACAGTGAGTGGTAATCGTGTTCCGAGTAAATCGCCGCACGACTTCGGTTCTTTCTTTTGGAAAAGTCGTTTTGGTTTAGTTACAAATATGAAGTTTCCTTACCTCTTTTATAAATTAAAACTAGGACTATCCCTTTTCTTGTGGTGTGCTTATGTGGAATAAATCTAAATGTCGTCAATTAATGCGCAATGTGAATCTTGTAGAGTGATGTTTTTCGTCTAGCTATCGATATTTTATTGTGGTCAATCCTTTCCATGTCCTTCTCTCCTTAGACACTGATGACTGTTATCCAAACCCGTGTCTAAACAACGGAACATGTATAGACGGGGTGAATGACTACAAGTGCAGTTGCGTGCCTGGCTTTGATGGGAAGAATTGCTCAAATAGTAAGCCGTTTAAAATCATTCTTTGCATTAAGATTTTCAGTTTCAGTCTGAACAGTGAATGGTAATCGTGTTCCAAGTAAATAGGTGCACGCCCTCGCACATTTCTTTTGGTGTAGTAGTTTTTCATAACCTAAGTTAGAGACATAAAGGTTTCCTTATTTCTTTTAAAACTAAATAATAGGACTATCCCTAAAAAGGCAAATCAATGGATAATTTTTTCTTCGCCATTACTGATTTGGGTAAGATTAGTTTCTTCAGGTTACACGGGAAAAGGCAAAGCAATACATAATTATCCCTTGGTTATTACCCATGTTTGGGCAAGATTACTTTTTAAAAGAATTTCTTTTCTGGAGTACCCATGTAGATTAAAACTGATTGCAGTCATTATTAAATGCTCAATGTGAATCTTGTATAGTTATGTTGTCCATGTACATATAAATGTTTAATTGTGGTCAATCCTAACCATGTCTTTTCTCCTTAGATACTGATGACTGTTATCCAAACCCGTGTCTAAACAACGGAACATGTATAGACGGAGTGGATGACTACGAGTGCCTTTGCGTGCCTGGCTTTGTAGGGAAGAATTGCTCAAATAGTAAGCCTTTAAAACCAGTCTTAGCATGAAGATTTTCGGATTCAGTCTAAACAGTGAATGGTAATCGTGTTCGAAGTGAATTGGCCAACGACCTCGCTCATTGTTTTTGGAAAAGCCGTTTTCACTAAGTTACGGATATAAACTTTCTTTACTTCTTTTTAAAATTAATACTAGGACTATCCCTAGAATGCAAATCAATATATAATAAAACGTTGGCTATTACTAATCTAGGCAAGATTAGTTTCTTCATGTTACACAGGAAAAGGCAAAACAATACATCATTATGCCTTGGTTATTAAAACAGATAAATAAATAAATATACCGTTTATTTGCCACATTGCAGAACTAACTGAATTAAAAGGCTATCAATTATTAATTAACAAATAATTAACACTACTACTACTATAGAAACAAAAGAAATATCTTGAATAACTATTTACATATTCACATATTTACTAGCCAATGAAATAGAGGAACCTGAATGCTGGGTTAGGCAACAACTCCTAACTAATTTGGGCAAGATTACTTTTAATAAAATTAACTTCCCTTGTAGAGTGGCCATGTGGAATAAAACTGAATGCCGTCAATTAATGTGCAATGTGAATCTTGTATAGTTATATTTCCGTGTAGATAGGGATATTTTATTGTGGTCAATCCTTACCATGTCCTTCTCTCCTCAGACACTGATAACTGTTATCCAAACCCGTGTCTAAACAACGGAACATGTACAGACGGAGTAAATGACTACACCTGCATTTGCGTGCCTGGCTTTGTAGGGAAGAATTGCTCAAATAGTAAGCCTTTTAAAATCAAGTGTTACTATTAAGTTTTTCGTATTCAGTCTGAACTGTGAATGGTAATCGTGTTCCAAGTGAATAGGTGTACGATGTAGCTCGTTTCTTTTAGAAAAGTCCTTTTGCATAAGTTACAGACATGAAAAGTTTTCTTACCTTTTTAAAAAATTAATACTCGGACTATCCCTAAAAGGCAAATCAAGACATAATTATGCCTTGGTCATCACCAATTTGGGTAAGGTTAGTGCCTTCATGTTACACAGAAAAAAGCAAAACAATACATAATTGTGCCTTGGTTATTACTAATTTGGGTAAGATTACTTTTAAAAGAAGTTTCCTTCTAAATGGCGTCAATTAATGTGCAATGTGAATGTTGTATAGTTATCTTTTCCATATAGGTTTAGATATTTTATTGTGGTCAATCATTACGATGTCCTTCTTTCCTCAGACACTGATAACTGTTATCCAAACCCGTGTCTAAACAACGGAACATGTATAGACAGAGTGGATGACTACAAGTGTACCTGCGTGCCTGGCTTTGTGGGGAAGAACTGCTCAAACAGTAAGGCATTAAAATCAAGTGTTAGTATTGAGATTTTTGGATTCAGTCGGAACAGTGAGTGGTAATCGTGTTCCGAGTAAATCGCCGCACGACTTCGGTTCTTTCTTTTGGAAAAGTCGTTTTGGTTTAGTTACAAATATGAAGTTTCCTTACCTCTTTCATAAATTAAAACTAGGACTATCCCTTTTCTTGTGGTGTGCTTATGTGGAATAAATCTAAATGTCGTCAATTAATGCGCAATGTGAATCTTGTAGAGTGATGTTTTTCGTCTAGATATCGATATTTTATTGTGGTCAATCCTTTCCATGTCCTTCTCTCCTTAGACACTGATGACTGTTATCCAAACCCGTGTCTAAACAACGGAACATGTATAGACGGGGTGAATGACTACAAGTGCAGTTGCGTGCCTGGCTTTGATGGGAAGAATTGCTCAAATAGTAAGCCGTTTAAAATCATTCTTTGCATTAAGATTTTCAGTTTCAGTCTGAACAGTGAATGGTAATCGTGTTCCAAGTAAATAGGTGCACGCCCTCGCACATTTCTTTTGGTGTAGTAGTTTTTCATAACCTAAGTTAGAGACATAAAGGTTTCCTTATTTCTTTTAAAACTAAATAATAGGACTATCCCTAAAAGGCAAATCAATGGATAATTTTTTCTTCGCCATTACTGATTTGGGTAAGATTAGTTTCTTCAGGTTACACGGGAAAAGGCGAAGCAATACATAATTATCCCTTGGTTATTACCCATGTTTGGGCAAGATTACTTTTAAAAGAATTTCTTTTCTGGAGTACCCATGTAGATTAAAACTGATTGCAGTCATTATTAAATGCTCAATGTGAATCTTGTATAGTTATGTTGTCAATGTACATATAAATGTTTAATTGTGGTCAATCCTAACCATGTCTTTCTCTCCTTAGATACTGATGACTGTTATCCAAACCCGTGTCTAAACAACGGAACATGTATAGACGGAGTGGATGACTACAAGTGCCTTTGCGTGCCTGGCTTTGTAGGGAAGAATTGCTCAAATAGTAAGCCTTTAAAACCAGTCTTAGCATGAAGATTTTCGGATTCAATCTAAACAGTGAATGGTAATCGTGTTCGAAGTGAATTGGCCAACGACCTCGCTCATTGTTTTTGGAAAAGTCGTTTTCAATAAGTTACCAGCGGATATAAACTTTCTTTACTTCTTTTTAAAATTAATACTAGGACTATCCCTAGAATGCAAATCAATATATAATAAAACGTTGGCTATTACTAATCTAGGCAAGATTAGTTTCTTCATGTTACACAGGAAAAGGCAAAACAATACATCATTATGCCTTGGTTATTAAAACATATAAATAAATAAATATACCGTTTATTTGCCACATTGCAGAACTAACTGAATTAAAAGGCTATCAATTATTAATTAACAAATAATGAACACTCCTACTACTATAGAAACAAAAGAAATATCTTGAATAACTATTTACATATTCACATATTTACTAGGCAATGAAATAGAGGAACCTGAATGCTGGGTTAGGCAACAACTCCTAACTAATTTGGGCAAGATTACTTTTAATAAAATTAACTTCCCTTGTAGAGTGGCCATGTGGAATAAAACTGAATGCCGTCAATTAATGTCCAATGTGAATCTTGTATAGTTATATTTCCGTGTAGATAGGGATATTTTATTGTGGTCAATCCTTACCATGTCCTTCTCTCCTCAGACACTGATAACTGTTATCCAAACCCGTGTCTAAACAACGGAACATGTACAGACGGAGTAAATGACTACACCTGCATTTGCGTGCCTGGCTTTGTAGGGAAGAATTGCTCAAATAGTAAGCCTTTTAAAATCAAGTGTTACTATTAAGTTTTTCGTATTCAGTCTGAACTGTGAATGGTAATCGTGTTCCAAGTGAATAGGCGTACGATGTAGCTCGTTTCTTTTAGAAAAGTCCTTTTGCATAAGTTACAGACATGAAAAGTTTTTTACCTTTTTAAAAAATTAATACTCGGACTATCCCTAAAAGGCAAATCAATACATAATTATGCCTTGGTCATCACCAATTTGGGTAAGGTTAGTGCCTTCATGTTACACAGAAAAAAGCAAAACAATACATAATTGTGCCTTGGTTATTACTAATTTGGGTAAGATTACTTTTAAAAGAATTTTCCTTCTAAATGCCGTCAATTAATGTGCAATGTGAATGTTGTATAGTTATCTTTTCCATGTAGGTTTAGATATTTTATTGTGGTCAATCATTACGATGTCCTTCTTTCCTCAGACACTGATAACTGTTATCCAAACCCGTGTCTAAACAACGGAACATGTATAGACGGAGTGGATGACTACAAGTGTACCTGCGTGCCTGGCTTTGTGGGGAAGAACTGCTCAAACAGTAAGGCATTAAAATCAAGTGTTAGTATTGAGATTTTTGGATTCAGTGGGAACAGTGAGTGGTAATCGTGTTCCGAGTAAATCGCCGCACGACTTCGGTTCTTTCTTTTGGAAAAGTCGTTTTGGTTTAGTTACAAATATGAAGTTTCCTTACCTCTTTTATAAATTAAAACTAGGACTATCCCTTTTCTTGTGGTGTGCTTATGTGGAATAAATCTAAATGTCGTCAATTAATGCGCAATGTGAATCTTGTAGAGTGATGATTTTTCGTCTAGATATCGATATTTTATTGTGGTCAAAATCTTGTAGAGTTTTGTTTTCCGTCTAGCTATCGATATTTTATTGTGGTCAATCCTTTCCATGTCCTTCTCTCCTTAGACACTGATGACTGTTATCCAAACCCGTGTCTAAACAACGGAACATGTATAGACGGGGTGAATGACTACAAGTGCAGTTGCGTGCCTGGCTTTGATGGGAAGAATTGCTCAAATAGTAAGCCGTTTAAAATCATTCTTTGCATTAAGATTTTCAGTTTCAGTCTGAACAGTGAATGGTAATCGTGTTCCAAGTAAATAGGTGCACGCCCTCGCACATTTTTTTTTTGGTGTAGTAGTTTTTCATAACCTAAGTTAGAGATATAAAGGTTTCTTATTTATTTTTTTAAAACTAAATAATAGGACTATCCCTAAAAGGCAAATCAATGGATAATTTTTTCTTCGCCATTACTGATTTGGGTAAGATTAGTTTCTTCAGGTTACACGGGAAAAGGCAAAGCAATACATAATTATCCCTTGGTTATTACCCATGTTTGGGCAAGATTACTTTTAAAAGAATTTTTTTCTGGAGTACCCATGTAGATTAAAACTGATTGCAGTCATTATTAAATGCTCAATGTGAATCTTGTATAGTTATGTTGTCCATGTACATATAAATGTTTAATTGTGGTCAATCCTAACCATGTCTTTCTCTCCTTAGATACTGATGACTGTTATCCAAACCCGTGTCTAAACAACGGAACATGTATAGACGGAGTGGATGAGTACGAGTGCCTTTGCGTGCCTGGCTTTGTAGGGAAGAATTGCTCAAATAGTAAGCCTTTAAAACCAGTCTTAGCATGAAGATTTTCGGATTCAGTCTAAACAGTGAATGGTAATCGTGTTCGAAGTGAATTGGCCAACGACCTCGCTCATTGTTTTTGGAAAAGTCGTTTTCAATAAGTTACGGATATAAACTTTCTTTACTTCTTTTTAAAATTAATACTAGGACTACCCCTCGAATGCAAATCAATATATAATAAAACGTTGGCTATTACTAATTTAGGCAAGATTAGTTTCTTCATGTTACACAGGAAAAGGCAAAACAATACATCATTATGCCTTGGTTATTAAAACAGATAAATAAATAAATATACCGTTTATTTGCCACATTGCAGAACTAACTGAATTAAAAGGCTATTAATTATTAATTAACAAATAATGAACACTACTACTACTATAGAAACAAAAGAAATATCTTGAATAACTATTTACATAATCACATATTTACTAGTCAATGAAATAGAGGAACCTGAATGCTGGGTTAGGCAACAACTCCTAACTAATTTGGGCAAGATTACTTTTAATAAAATTAACTTCCCTTGTAGAGTGGCCATGTGGAATAAAACTGAATGCCGTCAATTAATGTGCAATATGAATCTTGTATGGTTATTTTTCCGTCTAGATATGGATATTTTATTGTGGTCAATCCTTACCATGTCCTTTTCTCCTTAGACACTGATGACTGTTATCCAAACCCGTGTCTAAACAACGGAACATGTACAGACGGAGTAAATGACTACACCTGCATTTGCGTGCCTGGCTTTGTAGGGAAGGATTGCTTTAATAGTAAGCCTTTTAAAATCAAGTGTTACTATTAAGTTTTTCGTATTCAGTCTGAACTGTGAATGGTAATCGTGTTCCAAGTGAATAGGCGTACGATGTAGCTCGTTTCTTTTAGAAAAGTCCTTTTGCATAGGTTACAGACATGAAAAGTTTTCTTACCTTTTTAAAAAATTAATACTCGGACTATACCCAAAAGGCAAATCAATACATAATTATGCCTTGGTCATCACCAATTTGGGTAAGGTTAGTGTCTTCATGTTACACAGAAAAAGCAAAACAATACATAATTGTGCCTTGGTTATTACTAATTTGGGTAAGATTACTTTTAAAAGAATTTTCCTTCTGAATGCCGTCAATTAATGTGCAATGTGAATGTTGTATAGTTATCTTTTCCATGTAGGTTTAGATATTTTATTGTGGTCAATCATTACGATGTCCTTCTTTCCTCAGACACTGATAACTGTTATCCAAACCCGTGTCTAAACAACGGAACATGTATAGACGGAGTGGATGACTACAAGTGTACCTGCGTGCCTGGCTTTGTGGGGAAGAACTGCTCAAACAGTAAGGCTTTAAAATCAAGTGTTAGTATTGAGATTTTTGGATTCAGTGGGAACAGTGAGTGGTAATCGTCTTCCGAGTAAATCGCCGCACGACTTCGGTTCTTTCTTTTGGAAAAGTCGTTTTGATTTAGTTACAAATATGAAGTTTCCTTACCTCTTTTATAAATTAAAACTAGGACTATCCCTTTTCTTTTGGTGTGCTTATGTGGAATAAATATAAATGTCGTCAATTAATGCGCAATGTGAATCTTGTAGAGTGATGTTTTTCGTCTAGATATCGATATTTTATTGTGGTCAATCCTTTCCATGTCCTTCTCTCCTTAGACACTGATGACTGTTATCCAAACCCGTGTCTAAACAACGGAACATGTATAGACGGGGTGAATGACTACAAGTGCAGTTGCGTGCCTGGCTTTGATGGGAAGAATTGCTCAAATAGTAAGCCGTTTAAAATCATTCTTTGCATTAAGATTTTCAGTTTCAGTCTGAACAGTGAATGGTAATCGTGTTCCAAGTAAATAGGTGCACGCCCTCGCACATTTCTTTTGGTGTAGTAGTTTTTCATAACCTAAGTTAGAGACATAAAGGTTTCCTTATTTCTTTTAAAACTAAATAATAGGACTATCCCTTAAACGCAAATCAATGGATAATTTTTTCTTCGCCATTACTGATTTGGGTAAGATTAGTTTCTTCAGGTTACACGGGAAAAGGCAAAGCAATACATAATTATCCCTTGGTTATTACCCATGTTTGGGCAAGATTACTTTTAAAAGAATTTCTTTTCTGGAGTACGCATGTAGATTAAAACTGAATGCAGTCATTATTAAATGCTCAATGTGAATCTTGTATAGTTATGTTGTCCATGTACATATAAATGTTTAATTGTGGTCAATCCTAACCATGTCTTTCTCTCCTTAGATACTGATGACTGTTATCCAAACCCGTGTCTAAACAACGGAACATGTATAGACGGAGTGAATGACTACAAGTGCAGTTGCGTGCCTGGCTTTGTAGGGAAGAATTGCTCAAATGGTAGGGCTTTTAAAATCAAGTCTTAGTATTGAGATTTTGCAACTCAGTCTAAACAGCGAATGGTAATCGTGTTCGAAGTAAATCGGCTGACGAGCTCGTCCGTTTCTTTTGGAAAAGTGTTTTTGCTTAAATTACAGTTATGAAGGTTTCCTACCTCCTTTAAAAATTAATACTAGGACTATCCCTAAAAGGCAAATCAATACAAAATTATGTCTTTGCCATTGCTAATTTCAGCAGGATTAGTTTCTTGATGTTACACAGGAAAATTAAAGTTAACACAATACATAATTGTGACTTGCTTATTACTGATTTGGGGGACATTACTTTTAAAAGAATTTTTCATCTGTCGTGCTCATACGGAATAAAACTGAATTCCGTCAATCAATGTGCAATGTGAATCTTGTAGAGTTTTGTTTTCCGTGTACATATGGATATGTTATTGTGGTCAATCCTTTTCATGTCCTTCTCTCCTTAGACACTGATGACTGTTATCCAAACCCGTGTCTAAACAACGGAACATGTATAGACGGAGTGAATGACTACAAGTGCAGTTGCGTGCCTGGCTTTGTAGGGAAGAATTGCTCAAATGGTAGGGCTTTTAAAATCAAGTCTTAGTATTGAGATTTTGCAACTCAGTCTAAACAGCGAATGGTAATCGTGTTCGAAGTAAATCGGCTGACGAGCTCGTCCGTTTCTTTTGGAAAAGTGTTTTTGCTGAAATTACAGTTATGAAGGTTTCCTACCTCCTTTAAAAATTAATACTAGGACTATCCCTAAAAGGCAAATCAATACAAAATTATGTCTTTGCCATTGCTAATTTCAGCAGGATTAGTTTCTTGATGTTACACAGGAAAATTAAAGTTAACACAATACATAATTGTGACTTGCTTATTACTGATTTGGGGGACATTACTTTTAAAGGAGTTTTTCATCTGTCGTGCTCATACGGAATAAAACTGAATTCCGCCAATCAATGTGCAATGTGAATCTTGTAGAGTTTTGTTTTCCGTGTACATATGGATATGTTATTGTGGTCAATCCTTTTCATGTCCTTCTCTCCTTAGACACTGATGACTGTTATCCAAACCCGTGTCTAAACAACGGAACATGTATAGACGGAGTGGATGACTACAAGTGCCTTTGCTTGCCTGGATTTGTAGGGAAGAATTGCTCAAATAGTAAGGCTTTTAAAATCAAGTCTTAGTATTGAGATTTTCCAAGTCAGTCTAAACCGTGAATGGTAATCGTGTTCGAAGTAAATCGGCTGACGAGCTCGCCTTTTTTTTGGAAAAGGGTTTTTTCATAACTTAAAGTTATGAAGGTTTCTTACCTCTTTAAAAATTAATACTAGCACTATCCCTAAAAGGCAAATGAATACATAATGATGCCTTGGCCATTACTAATTTAAAGAAGATTTGTTTCTTGATGTTACACAGGAAAAGGCAAAACAACACATAATTGTGCCTTCCTTATTACTACTTTGGGCAAGATTACTTTTGAAAGAATTTTTCTTCTGTCGTGCTCATACGGAATAAAACTGAATTCCGTCAATTAATGTGCAATGTGAATCTTGTAGAGTTTTGTTTTCCGTGTACATATGGATATGTTATTGTGGTCAATCCTTTCCATGTCCTTCTCTCCTTAGACACTGATAACTGTTATCCAAACCCGTGTCTAAACAACGGAACATGTATAGACGAAGTGGATGACTACAAGTGCTTTTGCGTGCCTGGCTTTGTGGGGAAGAATTGCTCAAATAGTAAGCCTTTAAAATTAATCTTAGCCTGAAGATTTTCGGATTTAGTCTAAACAGTGAATGGTAATCGTGTTCGAAGTAAATCGGCCAACGACCTCGCTCTTTTTTTCGGAAAAGTCGTTTTCAATGAGTTACGGATAAAAGGTTTCTTTACTTCTTTTTAAAATTAATACTAGGACTATCCCTAGAATGCAAATCAATACATAATTATAGCTTGGCTATTACAAATTTAGGCAAGATTAGTTTCTTCATGTTACACAGGAAAAGGCAAAGCACTACATCATTATGCCTTGGTTGTTAAAACAGATAAATAAATAAATATACCGTTTATTTGCCACATTGTAGAATTAACTGAATTAAAAGGCTATAAATTAACAATTAAGAAATAATTAACACTACTACTACTATAGAAACAAAAAAAATATCTTAAATGACTATTTACATATTCACATATTTGCTAGCCAATGAAATAAAGGTACCTGAACGCTGGGTAGGGCAACAACTCCTAACTAATTTGGGCAAGATTACTTTTAATAAAATTAACTTCCCTTGTAGAGTGCCCATGTGGAATAAAACTGAATGCCGTCAATTAATGTGCAATATGAATCTTGTATGGTTATTTTTCCGTGTAGATATGGATATTTTATTGTGGTCAATCCTTACCATGTCCTTTTCTCCTTAGACACTGATGACTGTTATCCAAACCCGTGTCTAAACAACGGAGCATGTACAGACGGAGTGAATGACTACAAGTGCAGTTGCATGCCTGGCTTTGTAGGGAAGAATTGCTCAAATAGTAAGCCTTTTAAAATCAAGTCTTAGTATTGAGATTTGCGGAGTCAGTGTGAACAGTGAATGGTAATCGTATTTCAAGGAAATTGGCGCACGACTGCGCTGGTTTCTTTAGGAAATGTCGTTTTGCATAATTTACAGATATGAAGTGAGGCTTAATAGCCCTCGCGGCGAATTTAAAATAAGTAACATAGGGGACGATGAAGTCGATCTTTGTCCAGAGGACATTTCTTGTGCTAGCTGTATTGAAGAAGAGATAGAAAAATTGGCCGTTGCTCAACTAAAGTTTTGGTTAAAATGCCGCCGCATAAATCAAAGTGGTAATAAGAAGGAACTGTTAAGGTAGGCTTACATTATCCGGCTCTGCCCGATCGATCAACGGAGGCATTTGAACCAAAACTTTAGTTGAGCAACGGTCAATTTTCTATCTCTTCTTCAATAAAGCTAGCACCAGGAATGAGTAAGATCGACTTGATCGTCCGCCATGTTAGTTATTTTGAATTTGCCGCGAGGGCTATTAAGCCTTACTTCCATGCAACTTCCGGTTTTTTCTGGAATCAGAGTTTTTGGTCAAGATTTTTTTAAAAGAATTTTCCTTCTGGAGTGCTCGTGTGGAATAAAACTGAATGCCGTCAATTAATGCTTAATGTGAATCTTGTATACTTATGCTTTCCGTGTAGATATGGATATTTTATTGTGGTCAATCCTTACGATGTCCTTCTCTCCTCAGACACTGATAACTGTTATCCAAACCCGTGTCTAAACAACGGAACATGTATAGACGGAGTGAATGACTACAAGTGCACTTGCGTGCATGGCTTTGTAGGGAAAAATTGCTCAAATAGTAAGGCTTTTAAAATCAAGTCAAGGAATTGAGTCTGAACAGTGAATGGTAATCGTGTTCCAAGTAAATCGGCGCACGACCTCGCTCGTTTCTTTTGGAAAAGTCGTTTTGCATAAGTTACAGATATGACGTTTCCTTGCCTCTTTTAAAAATTAATACTAGGACTATCCCTCAAAGGCATATCAATAGAGAATTATGCCTTGGCCATTACTAATTTGGGCAAGATTAGTTTCTTCATGTTACACAGGAAAAGGCAAAACAATACATAATTATGCCTTGGTTATTACTAATTTGGGCAAGATTTTTTTAATACTAATTTTCCTTCTGGAGTGCCCATGTGGAATAAAACTGAATGTCATCAATTAATGCGCAGTGTGAATCTTGTATAGTTATGTTTTCCGTGGAGATATGAATATTTTATTGTGGAGAATCCTTTCCATGTCCTTCTCTCCTCAGACACTGATGACTGTTATCCAAACCCGTGCCTAAACAACGGAACATGTATAGACGGAGTGAATGACTACAAGTGCACTTGCGTGCCTGGCTTTGCAGGGAAGAATTGCTCAAATAGTAAGCCTTTAAAATCAAGTCTTAGTATTGAGATTTTCGGATTCAGTCTGAACAGTGAATGGTAATCGTGTTTTAGGTAAATCGGCGCACGACCTCGCTCGTTTCTTTTGGAAAAGTCGTCTTGCATAAGTTACAGATATGAAGTTTCCTTACCTCTTTTAAAATTTAATTCTAGGACTATCCCTAAAAGGCAAACCAATAGATAATAATTATGCCTTGGCCATTACTAATTTGGTCAAGATTAGTTTCTTTATGTTACACAGGAAAAGGCAAAACATTACATAATTATGCCTTTTTTATTACTAATTTGGGAAGATTAGTGTCAAAAGAATTTCGTTTCTTTAGTACCCATGTGGAATAAAACTGAATGCCGTCGGCCCCCAAATTGAGCATTTTCTCTGTCAGCGTTGCGTGAGGAATGGGCTCATTTAATCTGTTCTAGGTCAAAACCAGAAACCAGAACGCGAAGAGAAGAGAAAAAGGTCAGAACGAAGAGAAAAAGGCCAAAACCAGGAGAAAGATGCCGTTACAAATTTATCTTAAGAAGTGTGTTTATGGGGCCTCAGATTCAAATGGTATATCGTAGGACCATAATGACTCTGCTATTTTATGTAGGAGAAAGTAGACGTTATCAGATTTCAATTGGAACACGCGTTTCCTGAATTTCAATCGAATTGAATTCCGTAGCATATAAGTTTGTGGAAGTGTCAGTTGCATTGTGGAATATTTTGAATAATGGGCGCTCAGATTAATTCAATGGTCTAAAGTTTGGTCTCTTGATTTCTCACCAGATACGGATGACTGTTATCCCAGCCCATGTGAAAACAACGGAACATGTATTGACGGAGTGAACAACTACACTTGCGCTTGCGTTCCTGGCTATGAAGGAAAGAACTGCACCATTAGTAAGTTCTTTAATAGAATATAGCACTGAATATAGACATAAGGACTAAAAGAGAAAAAGTTCAAGCGTATAAAATATAAATATAGGTTTGTTTAGATTTTGTAAAAGATGCCTACAGAAATTCCATAAGCTTTTTGCAACTTGACCCTGAAGGCAAATGAATCCCAGTTAAAAGTCGGTAGTTAGGGCTTAATACGACAGCTTAACTGCTGGCAACACAGGAGTATTTGCTTTTGGTAAAAGCGACAGAATTTTGCAATGACGTTTACAACATTAGATATGCACAGAAATTATGATCTCTGAGTTCTTGAAACTATGAGGCTGATAGCAAGAGGCCCGACAAAATCAGGCCCAGACGCCGCCTTTTCTTGAAACCAGAATTGATTTTCTAAGTCAAAATCGCCTACGCTATGCATTTATGAAGCGTTTTTATGCTTCTGCATAATTTTCTTGTAACACGAGCGCAGCGACATACCTGATTCTGTTTGTCAACAACTTCAGGGAATCACAAAATTAAACACTTCCGCGGCACTGATAAAACTATCCACACCCACGTACAATATTTCCACACTTAATTTTGACGGAATGTCATCAAGTTACTACGAAAACCCTCGCTTTCTCCACATAAAACACATGTTAACTTTTTTCCCCCGTCGATTTATTCAAGATCCCGGATGTAGACCAGCATTTTAGGGCCTGCCTACAGAACAATTTTAACTAAGTCTCTGGCCTTGTCGAAATCATCATCAGTTTTGCTGTCGACAAATAGATTTAACTCCTCGAACCTACTTCCTGAGGCCGGAGACTCGTCACTGCTCAGAGCAAAGCTCTCGATATCGCTACCTTTCCGTCACATGCCCGAGATCAGTTTTTTACCTGTGTAGCGAAATGAGACGAAATACAGTAAGATGTTGGACGACGGCACACTTTGCCAATCGTGAGACTTGTTCCTTGATAAGGCTTAATGATACCTTCCGAAAAACTTTGCTCCAGACGGCCAAAAGAGAAATCTAGAAAAATAATCCTACTCGGGAGCCAACTTGAAACCCGCGCGCTGTTTCCATTAATCGTGTTTAATCACCTGGAGTGTGATTACTGCAGCTTGGTAGAGGATTTGTGTACTGAAAAAATCATAACAAAGAAAATGGTCAAGTAAAGAAGCCTAAAATGAAAATCAAAAACACTTGTGAACGAAAATCTACAGCCTTGATCGGTAAAATCTTTAATGCCAAATCACCAAGTATAAAAACACCAAGTATGAAATTTTAGGGCCAGGAATAGTTTCACGAATTCTCGGCGCCTCCGGATAAACTCTTTAAGAAAGTTTTCAGTTTTATAAAAACCTTTTATTCCTACAACTGTATGCACTGGGATTTCTTTCCTCGTATATCTGACTGGATTTGCACAAAAGTACCTTTGCGATTTTTTCCCAACATTCTCATTTTAGTGCCAAATTAAAAGTTAAACAGTAAACTGATCCTCAAGACAGGAAGAGTGTGAGAAAAAAAAAGACAAAGAAAACAAAAGTCAAATGGTCTTTTCACTGTCGAAGTATTTACACTAAAAAGAGAAATTCGAGCCTCACGCGAGTTCCGTAAAAAGAGAGCAAATGCAAATATTTGCCTTTGTCAATTGTCAAAGGTTAGTTTCGCGAAAAGAGAGTTTTCGGACAGCGCTGTTTGAGTAGTATCAACAAGATTGTTACGGATAGCCGCGTAACTGATTTTTATTGATACACATCGCTGTACAAGGATCAAAGATTGCCGCATCACAAACACTTCTCCCGGTGACAAATAGAACTTGCTAAACAGAAATTAATAGAAAAATAACAATAAGGAAAACGTACTTGTGAAAGAGAAAGGCACTAGGAAGTACAAATCTTACCGATTGGGTAGCAATGTGGAGAAAGACAAACGGCAAAGGCAGAACGCTTGGATGTTGTACCGGCGAGACGCAATACTAAACTGGCAACGACGCCGTGCGTAAAATGGCAATGAAAATATACAAATTCTAGAGACTCTCGAGGGAAGGATAACTGACCATAATATTCCCGCCCCTAATAAACTACTTGGGAACGAAAAACAAGGAAGTTTGTTACATATAGCCTACGAAGTTCGATACTCAAGCTTCGTCTTGATGACTGCAGATCATACGTGGCCATCCTTCGCCTTGTGGACCACAACGACACGACCTAAACGCCACTGACCTCGAGGGATATTCTCATCTACGATCAAGACCAATTCGTCGTCCTTCAGATCACGGCAAAGGGAGAACCCCTTATGACGTTTCTGTAACTTTGGAAGGTATTCCCGTAGCCAGCGCGCCCGCAAAAGACGTCAGCAAGGTATTGAACCTGTCTCTGACGATGTCGACTGTACTGATCTGGTTTGGAAAAGGAGCCTAGAGCCGTGGCCTGATTCGACATGAGCAAATAGTTGGGCGTAAATAAGGCTCTGCATCGGTTGGATCGTCAGCAGGATTCTGGGTCAACGGACGTGAATTCAAAATTTACTCCGCTTCGGCCACAACAGTAAGCAACGATTGGTCTCCCACAACTTCCTCTGAAAGCAGCAAACTATATATAGCTAACGATTTTCTTCACAGACCCGACAAGCCTCTCCCAAACACCTCCCATGTGTGCAGCGGCTGGCGGATGAAAGATCCACTCGATCTCTTGTTGGGATGTGTACTTGTCTGTTCTGTGTTGGTTCCACCCGTCGAGTGCTGCTCTTAGCTCACGTTCTCCTGCATGGAAATTAGTACCATTATCACTGCGAACCAGTTCAGGTTTTCCTCGTCTTTCCATAACTCTTCGCATAGCGGTAATGAAGAAGTCAGTGTCCAAAGAATGAGCAATTTCAATACGGACCGCCCTTGTAGTCAAACAGGTGAATATACATCCATAACGCTTCACACGACTGCGCTTCTGTTTCACAAGCACCGGACCAAAATAATCGATACCTACAAAGTTAAAGGGTGGTTGGTCTGGGATGAGGCGTTCCAAAGGTAAGTCAGCGATCCTCTGTTCCCCTGCCGATGCATTCCTCCTACGGCAACCGAAGCAATTTCGCAGGTAGCCTGCGTAGCAGGCGCTTGGAAGTAGTGGGCACAAGAAAAAACGGCGCATGAGAAGGAAACACCCGAGGGGAGAGGGAGCGCCTGCCCGAAATCATTTCCCACCTCCAGCCTAATTACCTGGCAGCTGTTGCGTGATCTGTCAAACGTTTTGACAGAAAACGACTGACCGCGCACAAACAAAGCGTGCCGCCAAAAAGCGTGGCACATTTTATTCACGGTCTAAATATACCTGTTATAAAGATCAGCTGGGTTAACTGATTATAGAGCGATGGAGCAATAAACTGATGTTTAACACACAGCTTTAAATCGTTTTTAACCACGGGCACAATAAATAAAAATAGGAAATAACAAAGTCAAAACTGGGTATCTTTTAAAGAATGCATGCTGTGTATTATAAAAAACTAATAGTATTGTTCTCTGAGCTTACTTAGCCACAACTGTACAGACACCAACGATCGCAGTGTACGTGGAAAATGACCATTGCTTTTACTGCGCAGCCGTTTTTGGAGCAGACATGTCTTACTAAGCGGACCTAAACTTCAGAACACAAACTGTGCCGACACGTTTTCTACTGCAGTAACGAGACATAAACAACAGACCTCAGGTCGCCTCCGAACGGCAAATAATACAATAGTGAAACGTTTTTTCAAATTCATGCCCCTGGTAAGTGTTTCATTTCATCAATCATGTCCAAGCTTTGATGGTATGCGTTCCATCGACAACACAAGCCGCCAAGTTCTCTTGAGCAAAGAATATTTCCTCTGATCTTCATTGTAACGATTTGACAAGTCTTTTGTCTCTCGCCACTCCCGCTAATGCGTATCTGATGTCAATTCTTTCCATCGTGAGTACCATTTGATCACTCCAACTTTTCTTTGAGATTACGGCCACATAGTCCCATTAAACCAGACTGAAGTGACCTCCAAACCCTGAACTTGCGTCTTGCGTCTTGCGTCTTGTACTGTCCGTTGTTGTGTGTTGTTATAGTTCTATTGCTTAATATTATTGTAACGAGGGGGCCTCCTCGTACAAGCCTTGTGGTTTTCTGAGGTCCCCTCGCCACATCTTTGTATAATGTAATGCTTGTGTAATCTTTATTGTGGGAAAATAATAAAATAAAATAAAAAAAAAAAAAACTTCCATTGTATACAATTTATAAGATCTTCACTACGTTGTCCATTTACTATTGATTGGCAGTCTTCTCGCCCCGCGCGGTAACTTTTTCCCTCGCGAGCCTCTCGACCAATTGGAAAAATCCGCACTCACAGAATGCGAGTTGAAACGATTTTCGGGAGCCTTCCGTGCAGGCGCTCCCTCACCCCTCGAGTGTCTCCCTCGCGCGCCCGTTTTCTCTTTCACCCACTACTTCCAAGCGCCTGCTACGTAGGCTATTTCGCAGCACTCCTCGCACTTTCACACGACCTTTGACAATCCAAAACTTTTGCCGAGTGGAGGCCGGCACGTGTTCTCTTCCTGCATGAGCCAACTCTTCATGGTACTTTCTTCTGATTATGTCAGTTACGTGGTGTTTCTTTGGGAGAATGATCGAAAGTTTAGCCTATTCAGAAATCTGGGCGTTACCTAGGTGACCTCCAACTCGTAAAATTCCGTCAACTAACACTGGGCAGAGCTTATGGAGTGGGCTGCGCGAGCTCGAACTCCTGGTGAAATGATCCTTAAAGTTTTCCTGCTGTACTGCCGCGAGTAAGGCTCTTTCAGCTGCAAGAATCTCATCGACTAAGAGCTCCCCTTTGATAATTCTCTGGTTATCGGCCTGCTTACCTTGTAACTTGCTAGATAAACAGCCCTTAAATCTCAGAAGCTAAGCAACTCCCCTTTTAAGGCGATCCCAGGAGAAATAATGTTCAATAAACGGAGCAATGCATTCTTAAGGGACGCCATGAGTACTCGACCTTCCGGCTTCACGTCGGGATGCTCATCGGACA